AGAAGGGAGCTGGCTACAAAGCAAAAGAATTTATTGGCCTCTTGTAATCCTTTGTGCTAATAGGGTAGGTTTTTCCTCCCTATCACACTTCCTGGCTTTGAGGCGAAAAAGAAGCAAATGTGAAAAGAGATGGCAAGATTATTCTGTCCTTTTTTTTCTTTTTTCCTTTTTCACCCCCATCAGCACACAAGCCTAGTTTTTAAAGGACGGAAGTTCAAAGGAATAAGATAACAGGATTCTATGAAGCAGTCAAATTGCAATCCACCAGGAAGTGCAGCACAACCACTTGTGGGTTTAAATCAGACTAAGGATGTTGATCGGAATATAGGTGTCAATTAGCTGCCTCTAACGCCAGCATATCTGTGCTGTCTCTCACTCTTCCTTGTGAATGGTTCACTTCCCCTTCGCATGCATTAAAAGATCATCTCAGCACTTATCACCAAGCTAAGAACATTAAAAAGCCTACTGCCTCAGGCCAGCGGCCCATTAGGTCTAGCATCCTGATCCTGTTGTTCCAGCTGGAAGATTCAGGACAAATAAAAGCTGTTGCATTTTCATGCAGAGCACAGTTCAACTGTGGAACTCACTGCCACAAGAGGCAGTGATGGCCACTAACGTGGATGGCTTTTTCCCCCTGCTCCCTTCTGAGGTACTAGCCATAATGCCTATGTTCTACCTCCATAGTTAGAGGCAGAAATGCTTGTGAGTCACAGTTTCTGGAAACCACAGGAAGGGAAACAAGTGTTCTTGCATTCAGGTCTTGCTTGGTCACACTGAGAACAGGAGGCTGGACTAGATGGGCCACTGGCCTCATCCAGTTGGCTCTTTTTATATAGGCATAGGGTACAATTCCGGCTCATAAAACTATTGAACTTGATTGAGATGGAGTTTACCCCAAAGTTGGATAAACTGATGGGCTTGTAAAATACAGTGGTACCTCGAGTTACATACGCTTCAGGTTACATACGCTTCAGGTTACACACTCTGCTAACCCAGAAATAGTGCTTCAGGATAAGAACAGAAATTGGGCTCTGGCGGCACTGCAGCAGCAGGAGGCTCCATTAGCTAAAGTGGTGCTTCAGGTTAAGAACAGTTCCAGGTTAAGTACCTCTGGAACGAATTAAGTACTTAACCCGAGGTACCACTGTAAACTGTAACTCGCTGGATCATCACCATGTCATGGTGAGTGGGCTTGCACGTTCCTATGACCCTTGTGAGCGAAGCCGTCGGGAGTCTGGTACTCCCAGCAGGGTCACCCAAGGCGGTAAGGTCAAAGGGGAGGAGATAGGAGATAGACAAATGATGGAAGAAGTCCTCAACGGCAGATCAGGCAGGAGATAACAAGCGGTATGTTACAACGGCTGTGAAGGCGGATGAAGGCTGCAGCAGATAAGAACCTGCAGGTTGTCTTGACACGCATGCCACTGTGTGTTGGTCAGGGTGCACTGATCTGATGAACTGCTGGGCTTGTAAAATATGCTTGGCTTGATTTGTAGCTATAGTATAAACATGGGCTTAGGATTGTATCCAATGCATGTCCTACTCAATTGAAATTGATGGCCGTGACTAATTTAGGTCTATTCATTCCGGTGCGTCTGAGTAAAATTTAGTTGCATGCAACTGATATAAGTAAAAAAAAACCTGCTCCTTTTCCCATATGGCGTACCCAAGAGCCCATATAGAGTCCTTTAGTAGGTTCTCTGTGGGTAGGAGAAAATAGCAGACCAACCAAAGAATATTGAGAAGCAAAGCAGCTAGTAAGCCTGATCTTTTATTAACTGTTGCAACAGGGTTCTCCCCCACACGCAGGAGAGAGGAGGAGGACCCAGAGCCATGCGTGCAAGCCCTACTATAGACATTTTAAATTGCCCGCCCTGGAGTCCAAGACCACCCCCAGAAACATCATACATATATCACAGAAGGGGTGTAGCCCAAGACCAGATACATCATACCTCCATCACAGAAAAGGCGGTCTACAACAGAAATCTGAGTGCTTTGTTTTTACCCTGTCTGCCAGGTTGCCTGTTAATGGTCACTTGACTGGAGCCTGGCCATTCTTTTGTAATGATAATACTTAATTCCTGAGGCAGGTCACAGGCTCACCCTATTCACACCTTAAACATGCCCTTAAGGCAGGATTTGTGAGGACAGAGACAATGGGGAGGTTTCTGCATTTCCTTCCACCTGTAGAGAAATATTTGAGGTGACTGAAAGAGTCAAAATGGCTTTAGGACTTTTCCTATGGGTTTCAGACATGTGGTTTATATGTGTTTGCTTGGTACATTTATGAACATTTTATATATATATATATATATATATATATATATATATATATATGACCTAAAAATTCATATAACAAGTATAAACATGGGCTTAGGGTTATATCCAATGCATGTCCTACTCAAGAGCAGGCCCATTGAAATCGATGGTCGCGACTAATTTAGGTCTATTGATTCCAGTGGGTCTAACCTGAGTAAAATTTAGTTGCATGCAACCTTTAGTATGTTTTGGGGGTTATGGCCAATGTTAGATCTACGCTGAGCAGACCCATTGGAATGGATGGACATTCCCTTCCAGATGCGACTGGACTACAACTCCCATCATTCCCATATCCTTTGCCATGCTGGCTGGGTCTGATGGGAGTTGTAGTTGGGAGGACCACAAGCTCCGCATCATGGCTCTAAGCCAGTCTTCCCTGACCCGGCAGCCTTCGGAGATGTTTTGGACTACAATTGGGCCATGGACCCCAACCCAGTAGGTGATACTTGGAAATCCAAAAAGGTTTGGAGGGCGTCGGGTTGATGGAGGCTTCCCTGAGCCCAAGATTTAGAAGTGTGTTCCAGGGAACACTGGAGTTCCTTTGAAAGCAGCATCAGGCATTCCTCAGTGAATGTGTAAGAAGGAATCCCGCTGGGCCCATCTGTCCCAGCCTCCTGTTTCCAGCAGTGGAGAGTCAGATGTCAGCCAGAAGCAGAATGCGAAAGAGAGTCTCCCATGTTGCTCTCCAACAACTGCAACTGGTCTTCAAGTGGTGGTGGTGGGGAGAACGTTGCAAAAGAAGACACACATGTCCATAAAATTTGCGCATGCTTGTCTAGATGTGTAGTTGTACATTTGGAAAGAATTGCTGCAATTTAAATAGAAATATAACGCATCTCACCAGAGCAGGGCGGAGAGTGTCACCAAATGATCTGTGTGCCTGCTCAGTCCATGTGCCAACTACTGAGCAAAACTCACCACACACACACACACCTAGAAAACCTAGAATGCTGCCTTATACTGACTTAGATAATTGGCTCAGTATTGTCTACACTGACTGGCAGCAGCACTCCAGGGTTTCAGGTAGGGTTCTCTCTCAGTCCTGCCTTGAGATGCCAGCAATTGAACCTGCGACCTTTTGCATGCAGCGCAGATGCTCTGCCACCAAGTTATGGACTTTCACCAGTGTAAGAAGAAATAACCCTTCTTAGAGTTATGTATCTTCTAACAGGACAGGCTTTCAAACAGTGAGCTCCTTCAAAGTGAGGACTCAAATGCCCTTCAAACGGCCAGCCTAGTGTTCTGCAGCATACTGCTCCTGAGCCTGGAGGTTCTACTTAGCTGTGGACTACAGCTGTTGTTGTTGTTTAGTCGTTTAGTCGTGTCCGACTCTTCGTGACCCCATGGACCAGATCATGCCAGGCACTCCTGTCTTCCACTGCCTCCCATAGTTTGGTCAAACTCATGTTCGTAGCTTCGAGAACACTGTCCAACCATCTTGTCCTCTGTCGCCCCCTTCTCCTTGTGCCCTCCATCTTTCCCAACATCAGGGTCTTTTCCAGGGAGTCTTCTCTTCTCATGAGGTGGCCAAAGTATTGGAGCCTCAGCTTCAGGATCTGTCCTTCCAGTGAGCTCAGGGCTGATTTCCTTCAGAATGGATAGGTTTGATCTTCTTGCAGTCTATGGGACTCTCAAGAGTCTCCTCCAGCACCACAATTCAAAAGCATCAATTCTCCGGCGATCAGCTTTCTTTATGGTCCAGCTCTCACTTCCATACATCACTACTGGGAAAACCATGGCTTTAACTGTATATACACACCATACACACCATATGTTGAAAGCACATTTAAAGCATAGGCTTTCCTGGGAACTGTAGTTTACTCATCACAGAGCTATAATTCCCAGCACCCTTGACAGACTACAGTTCTCATGATTCTTTGAGGGGAAGCCATGTGCTTTCAACAAAGCAACTACTCTATTCCGAACTTAAACATGGAAAGTGTAATGCTGGTGGTCAACAAAAGAGGTTTAAAGACAACTCTCAAGGCAAATCTAAAAAAATGTAGTATAAACATCGACAACTGGGAAACACTGGCCTGCAAGCGCTCAGTTGGAGAACAGCCTTTACCAAAGGTGTCATAGACTTTGAAGACACTCGAACTCAGAACGCAAGGGAGAAACGTGCTAAGAGGAAGGCACGCTTGGCAAATCCACACCGTGATCAACTCCTGCCCGGGAACCAATGTCCCCACTGTGGAAGGATGTGTGGATCCAGAACTGGCCTCCACAGTCACTTACGGACTCATTGTTAAACTGTGTTTATGGAAGACAATCTTACTCGGCTACGAGTGATCGCCAAAGAAGTGTATGCAGCCTGATAGATCTCCCATCCTTGAATTTCTCTAATCCACTTTGAAAGCCTTAAAGGGGGATTTTTAACTTTTCCAGATGGGGTTTTCCCATTATAACTTCTAGAGCCCTGGGGAAAGAACTCTGAAACTCTGGGGCGTTTATGTGCATGCTTGGAAAAGTTTTCTTTTAAGAGACATCCACAACATCTCCCCAAAAAAGACAAAATTGCAGACAGTGATTTACCAGAGACAGATCAGCCCCAAACAGGCTTGGTCGGTGTGTAGAAACCAAGCATTTGTCTCCAGCAAAAGGTTTCTCTCAGACCACACTAGTGGTGTGACGGAGCTCCAATGCGCTGCTGGAATGAATTTCGTTCGTTATTGCTCAATCCTCCCCTTTGCAAGGAGAGACGGTCTTGGCAGCCTCCTCTGCTTTCCAGCAGCAGCAGCAAAGCAACCCTTTCCAAGAGGAGAGCGCAGATCGGGAGAGGGCCACATTCTGCCGACTCACAACCAGCACCCTCAACTCTGGCAGACAGCGGCTCTCTCTGAGCCGATCAGGCAGCGTGTGCATGCGCCTCTTCCACAACTCCTGCCAACTCGGGGCTGCTTTGTATAATGGGACGTGGGAACGCCAGCCTGCGGGAGCATGTGCTCTGCCACTGATCCTGGCTCGCAGCGCACGCCCTCCTTAAGACTGTTTGCAAACCCAGAACCTTGAAAGGAGCAAAGAGAAGCCGATCCACAAGGACAGCACGAGACAGCCATGCCCATCTCGAGGAAGTTCAGAGGGCAAACTTCACCCACTGTTGGGCTATAAAGAATATTGCTGGGTGTTCCCTGCTCCACTCAAGGTGCATGTATGTGCATATACTGAAGATCTCGCTCGCTCTATATATCTATCTGCCTTCTTTCCATTTGGGGCATTCGCTGCAAACAGAGCAGCAACTCAGAGCAGAGAACTGACAGCAGGAGCGTTTAAAATGAAGACTGAAAATCAATATACGGGCGGCGTGCCATGCGAAGGCAGGAAGGGGGTGAGTGTCTGGCTGGCAGACGACGCTGTTTCCTTCTGTGGGCATGTGGGTCGAGGGGTAAACGGGCAAAACACAGTAGAATTTTGCCAATTGAAACACAGAACCTCTTGTTTTACGACAGAATATCCCAATTTTCATGCGGAATGTTGGAGGGTGTGGACTCAGACCACAGTCTGTTTGCTGCTGGATCTTGGAGACAGGCCTGTTTTTAAGGATTTTTTCTCAGGGTGTGTTGGTGGGAGGGGAGAGTGGCAGGGTCACTGCAAGACAGAAAAGGCTGAGGGTTTGGCGAAGGTCCCCTGGTCACAAAACCTTGGACCGGCCCCATGACATAAAGGTCCAGAAAGAGACCTTGTCAGAAGAGTAGGTGGTTGTGCACTGAAAAATATTGGCATTTTATTTTTATTTTATTTTTTAGAAAAATAAGGAATGGAGTTAGGATGTTGAGAATTTGAGGCACCTGGGTTCCAATCCTACAGACATCTTTGCACAATATTGATTGGGCAACATTTTGGCATGCTGGCAATCAGCATCCAATGTCTGAGATTCCGTTTTCTGTAGTCTTTTAAGCACTGTGCAGTTTTTCCTTGGTCTGCAACGTTCTTTTTTTGCTCCAAGCAAGGAGCCTGTGCATGCCCAACATCACTGCAGGGAAACAAGGGGAGATAATCTGCCCTGCTAATTGCCAAAGGTGCAGGGGTGGTGTGACTTGCAAACAACCCAACCCTGGGCTGGCAGGGTTTTTATTACTGCGTGCACGCATCCATGAAGCAGCAGGCAGTTCCACAGGTGCGCTTTGAATCTCTTCACTGCTGACTGGTGATGCATGGTTTGGGTCACAGCCCTCAGAGAATGCATTGTTGGTCCGCGGAGAGGGCAGAGACATATTGAGCCAACCCTAGGTAAAGGTAAAGGGACCTCTGATCATTAGGTCCAGTCGTGGACAACTCTGGGGTTGCGGCGCTCATCTCGCTTTATTGGTCGAGGGAGCCAGCGTACAGCTTCCGGGTCATGTGGCCAGCATGACTAAGCCGCTTCTGGCAAACCAGAGCAGTGCACAGAAATGCCTTTTACCTTCCCGCCGGAGTGGTACCTATTTATCTACTTGCCCTTTGACGTGCTTTCAAACTGCTAGGTTGGCAGGAGCAGGCATTTGAGCCAACCCTACAGACCCATAAATATGAGCTTGAGACCCAGGAGCAGTTTGTCAATGCCAGAATGCCCAGCCTAAAACATGTGAAGTAGTAGTGAAGCGAGTGCCTCTGAGCATGTACTGAGTTCCTAGTATTTAGCTCTTAAAGGGAGACTTTCCAGAGCCTGATTTTAGGCAGTCACACTTTCTGGCCTGGATGCTCGAACCACCCCAAGCCTGTAGAGGTTGGATGTGCCAATTTGGTAATGCATTCTGCACATGCTCAGAGTCATAGCATGGGAAAGTGTCCCATTCTACCAAGAATAAATGTTGCACTTTTGCATGCCGTGGTATGTAATTTCCCCAGGAGCGAAGCAGAAATGGCAAGCCAGCTGTGCACGTTGCATAAGAAAGAAGTACCTTATTTATTCTACACTAAAGTTGGCATCAGCCCCATACCTTTTCAAAATACCAGAGGTCTCTTGTGTAGAAGATGACAAAGACTTGCAAGGCTGCCTTCACACTGTACATTTAAAAGAGCATGGCTTCCTCACAGAGTATCCTGGGAACTGTAGCTCACAGCGCCCTTAACAAACTACTGCCCCAAACAGCATAACCAATGGTGTGAGTTGCAATTGAAGATAATTGCTCCATGGACAGTAGAGCAGTCACTGGAAGTCACTGAGAGCTAGAATTCAAAGGACTTTAACATCATCTGAACCAGAATGACTGAAAGACTCCCTAATTCAGGAGAGTAAAACCACATTTGCACCCTTCATTTATAATGCTACGGTACCATTTAAACAGTCGTGGCTTCCCCCATAGAAACCTGGGGGCTGCAGTTTGTTCAAGGTGCTGAGAGTTGTTATTCCCCGTTTAAAGTGGTATGATACTGCTTTAAATGTACAGTGTGAATGTGGCCTAAGGCTGTGCATACACCGAATTTTTAAAGCACATTGTTCCCCCTTAAGAATGCTGGGAACTGTAGTTCACACACACACCCTTGGAACTATAGTTCTCAGCACCCTTAACAAACTACAGATCCCAGGATTGGTTTTTTTTGGGGGGAGGAATCATGCACTTTAAATGCGTGGTGTGCCTATGTATGTTCTCTCCTGAGAGCAAATCAGTCAAATCAGTGGCGGAAGGCTGATTGCATTTGAAAACTGACAGAAACCTCTTTTTGGTGAGAGCCATTCCACAATGGAACCAGTTACAGTACCTAGGAATTGGTGTTGGGTCTCACTTCAGAATATAAGAGGAGCCCTGCAGGATCAGGCCAATAGCCCATATAGTCCAACATCCTGCTCTCGCCAGTTGCCTTTGGGGAACCCTCAAGCGGGCCTGAGCACTTGAGGGCTGTCCCAAGTTGATAGCTATCATTGCTTGCTGTGGGAGGGACATGTTACGGAAAAATCTAGGTACAAGGCTGCTCAGTCACCCAGAGCCCGCCGGTCCCTGCGGAACAAAGGAAGGAGTCCAGCCACCAGCCGGAGCAAATAGCTGTAGACCAAAGTTTATTGCGCAACAGGTTCAAAGAGGAATTTTGAACCCCGAGGATGGGGTGACAAGGACTTTTAAAAGTTTCTATCTTATCCCAGCCTACAGTTCATTAAGCATCATCACTACATCATTGGTACATCAGAAAAGGGGAGGGTTATACATGATTAACATAGGAGGAATATGTTGGGGCAACAGGTGGATACAGGTTATGTATTGGGAAGTACATTCTGAGCACCTACTACAAAGGGACAATAGGACTTTGGTTTGCATAGTCTGCCACCACCTATGGTTTCCAAGTCCTTGGCCAACGAGCAAATTGGCGGTGGAATGAAGGAAACTGGCAAAGGAGTTGATTTTATATGACTTTTAAAGCTAGGTAACTTCCCTGAGCTGTCAAGTCGAAATGATACGTTTATGCATAATATTTGTAACATTTAACAACTTTAAAGATGCGCCCCACCCCCCGTAATTTCCGCAACAAACCTTGTGCTGCACAAAGAAGCACTTTTCTTTTATGTGTTTTGAATCTTCCAACATTCAGCTTCATTGGAGCCCCACGAATTCTAGTGTTATGAGAGAGGGAGAAAAAACTCTCCCTGAACTGAAAAAATTCCCAAATGCTGCAACCATCTAACTGTTGCAATTAGGGAGGCGACACACCAGCAATAAATCTGCCTCCGGGGTGCTTGGGTGGGTGCCAGAATATGTCAAACAAGGGGGGGGCAGGAAGGGGGGAGGAGCAGAGAGAGCAAAAAGGTCAACTGTGGTCATTGGGAAGGCCTGGGTCCTCAATGGAAAATATGATCCGCCTTCCTGGAAGACGGGGAACGAAACTCTTTATGCCCTGGCAGTGTTTTAAAAAGCCCCCAGCTGCAACCTTGGCCAGAAACGCCACGTTGTTTATAGGCTGGTACCTTGTGATGTGGAAGGATCTTTCAGAACGTGCATGGAAAGGTCATCCGTTCTTCCGAAATTGTTCAGCCAGAAATACAGGACTTTTTTCTTGGGGGTGGGGGTGGGAGAGAGTGATGGAAAAACCCATTCCAATATTTTCTCCATGTCTTTGCTTTTTAAATGTTGGTGAGTTTGGATCTGCATGTCACTCTGGGGCTTTTTAAAAAGAGAAAGCAATGAATGAATGAAATGAATAATCCTAATACAGTGGTACCTCGGGTTAAGTACTTAATTTGTTCCGGAGGTCCGTTCTTAACCTGAAGCTGTTCTTAACCTGAAGCACCACTTTAGCTAATGGGGCCTCCTGCTGCTGCTGCGCCGCTGGAGCCTGATTTCTGTTCTCATCCTGAAGCAAAGTTCTTAACCTGAAGCACTATTTCTGGGTTAGCGGAGTCTGTAACCTGAAGCGTATGTAACCTGAGGTACCACTGTATTAGTGGCTTAAAGAAAGAGGGAGCTGGTCTTGTAAGGTAAGCCAGGCTAAGAGATCATGCCTGGCCCAAGGTCACTGAGAGGGTGTCATGGCTGAGTATGGATGTGTAGATATTTTCCAGCTTTGCAGGCCGTTGTGCCTTTCCAACTCTATAATTCTATTAACTCCACATGGGACTGCAGATCCATCCTTTTGGACCCATACATGAAAAGTTAAGCTGCCATTTCTCATCACAGCACTGTGCTGTTTTGAACAGTTGGTAACAGGTGTCAGGGCAACGGTGCTCCTCTAGCTTTTTCCTAACCTAAGCCATACTTTCCTGGTTTTTCAAAAACAGGATTAAATAGGTTCTTGCAGGGTAAATGATTAATTAATACAGAAGGTTTGCCTGCAATGTGGGACAGAAACTTTCCTGGACCGAGGGCCGCATTCCCTTCTGGGCAACCTTCCGAGGGCCAAATGCCAGTGGTGGGTGTGGCCAGAGACAAAAGTGGGTGGGGCAATGAATGACCTTTTTTTTAACCTTTTGCGTACAAGGCTAGTCCCTGCAAACACTGTCCTTCATCTAAGCAAGAGGCATGATCAGAGTTCAAGGACACATTTCCACCTGGGGGTGTGGTCTTGGGGTGCGAATCAGAGCCGGCAAAGGGGGCGTGGCTTGGGAAGAGTTCCGAGGGCCAGATAAGAGAGGCGAGGAGGGCCACATGTGGTTCCTTGCTCTTTGCACTTTTGGGATAAGGAAGGACACTTCCTGGGCTGATTTTTGGAAGCTGGTTCACCCTCCAACCACTCTCACCTCTTCTTGCCTGCAGAGAATGACCCTCGTCCTCAGCTTGGTGACCTTTGTGGCTGCCTTTGGTTCATCTTTCCAGTACGGCTACAACGTCTCCGTGATAAACTCTCCAGAACTGGTAGGTAGAGTCTCTGTGCTCACTCACACCTTTTCCACTTTGCATCACCGGAGCCCAGAGATCCCTTTCTCCTCATGCAGATGGGCCAGCGCAATAAACGTGCTGATTTAATGCTGTATTTTACAATGTTGCAACCCACCCACCCTGTGACCTTAGGACTGGAAAGTATTAATAATAATATAAAGACGTTCTTTGCTGAAAGAACTTTGAGCACCATCAACCAGAAATGGTGAACGTTGACACGGTTTACATCAGGTAAAGGGGAAGCTGTGGCCTCCCAGAGGTTGTTGTACTCCAATACCCATCGTCCAGAGCGACCAGTCCTCATGGATGATGGGTTCTGTAGTCCCACAACATCCAGAAATCCGCAGGTTCCCTGTTCTTGGCTTACTTAGAAGAGGGCATTGTTAATGAACCTGTGATACCTCTCTTCTTCCAGTTCATGAAAGCTTTTTACAACGAAACCTACTATGAAAGGAATGGGGAGTACATGAGCAAGGACATGATGACAGCCCTCTGGTCGATCACAGTGTCCTTCTTCCCGCTTGGAGGCTTCTTTGGGTCGCTTTTGGTTGGCCCCATGGTGAACAAATGCGGCAGGTAAGAAAAGCGTGATTCTGGCTCACATTGCTGGTTGTGGTGTGATGCAGAGGGGGGTGCAAAACAAGGGCAGCCAGGATAGGGCCTTCTAGACGTTGTTGCCCTAAAGGGTTTACAACTTCCCATGACTCCTGGGAGCACCAGCCAGAAAGGAGTCTCTCTCCTGCTCCTGTCTCTGCATGAGTGCCGTCTCTGACTTTTTATTATGATTGATTGAAACAGGTATGGGGACCTGGTGACCGCACCTGATTCTTGTTGTCGGACTCTGCTGTAAAAGTTCCAAATATTGGTATAGGAATTCAAGAGTGGCTTGTGAGAGCCATGTGGTTGAGCTGGAGCAACCAGCTCAAACCTCTTCCCAAGCTGAGCTTCTCAGGTAGACTGGGGAAGAACAAAGGCTTGCTTACCTTACTGTATTTTCACTCTATAAGACGCACCTGGCCATAAGATGCACCTAGTTTTAGAGGAGAACAAGAAAAAAATATTCTCTCCTTCTCTGCGCAGCGCCTCTCCAGCAAAGCGGGAGGAGAAATGGAAGGGGCTCTGTTTCTCTTCCTGCTTCGCTGAAGGGGCGCTGTGCAGAGAGGGAAAGCTGTGCAGCGCCTCTCCAGCGAAGCGAAGTCAGAACAGCAAGAGGGATTGCTGCGCAGTGAAAGCAGCGATCCCTCTTGCTGTTCTGGCTTCTGGGATAGCCGTGCCCTCTTCAGGGCAGGGGGAGCGTTCCTCCCGTTGCCCTGAAGAGGCTTGGCGCGGCTATCCCTGAAGCCAGGAGAGCAAGAGGGATCGGTGCGCACCTCCTCTTGAGCAAGAGGGATTGGTGCGCACCGATCCCTCTAGCTCTCCTGGCTTCAGCGATAGCTGCGCAGCCTGCATTCGCTCCATAAGACGCACACACATTTCCCCTTTCTTTTTAGGAGGGGGAAGTGCGTCTTATAGAGCGAGAAATACGGCATTTCCTCTCAAGGTGAGGGGAAGTGACCTAGGCTAAGCGTGGCAGGACAGCTTACTCTACTATGGCATTAACCATTAACTTAAGCATGTTGGTTATATGAGATTGGTTATCCCACACCTCCCTCCCTCCCTTCCTTTCCAGAAAGGGCACCTTACTGATCAACAATGTCTTCTCCATCATCCCTGCAATTCTCATGGGAGCCTCCAAGGCGGCCAAGACTTTTGAAGTGATCATCGTCTGTCGGATCATCATTGGCATCTGTGCAGGTGAGCACAGTAGAGCACCTGTCTTAAGTTACCTTCTTAAGAAGGCCTGCCTTTCTGGGACCTCTATCCAGACCGTTCCTCTGGGGTGGGTTCGGATACGCTGCACCCTTTTGTTGCCATTCCCAGCATTTGTCTTGCTGTCTTTTCAACCAGGCTTGTCTTCCAACGTTGTCCCCATGTACCTTGGAGAGCTGTCTCCCAAAAACCTAAGGGGGGCCGTGGGAGTGGTCCCGCAGCTCTTCATCACCATCGGGATCCTTGCTGCTCAGATTCTGGGCATGCGGATGATCCTCGGAAGCACAGAAGGTAAATGAGGAATGCATCGAATTTCCTGCTCTAATAGCGTTTTATTTATCTGTTTAGAGGGGCTTTTAAAAACAAAAACAAAAAAAACCCTCTGCTCTTCAGCCAAAGAGGCTCCCAGAATTGCTTGCTTTAAAAAAAAACAAGAACAAGACAAGCTACCTAGTTCCCACATAGCTGTCAACCGTCCCTAATTTGGCAGGAAACTCCCTTATCCCAGCGCCGTGTCCCGCTGCTGTCCCTTATTGATGATGTCCCTTAAATTTCCCGGGTTTCAAAGGAAGCAGCTCCTCTCCCTCCCTCCCTGCTGGCCAGGGAGGAGGGAGGCTCCAACTGTGTTGCTTGGCTGCGTTGCTCACCCAATAAGGAGTCTCAGAATGACAGGGGGTGGAGCTTGCATGCCCTGAGCCAATCAAATCGGCCGCATTGCCTGGGGACTCTCCTTTGCTCAGCGCTTCCCAGCGGAGAGGTGACGGTGGTTTTCCTTGCTGCATCCCCTTTGCCGGGTTGCTGCACTGTGGGAACCACGCTTAAGGCTTCGTTTGGCTGCTGGCTGGGCTTTCTGCCTTTGGCTTGGAGGGGCTCAGAAGTTGAGTATACCTGTGCCCTGAAAATCCCTTATATTGGCTGCTGATCCCTTATTTTCGAGGCTGCTGGTCCCTTATTTTCAAATCTGTAAGTTCACAGCTATGAGTTCCCAGAATTGCAATCTAAAAGACATGACACAAAAGAGGAAAGGGATAGGGAGGGTGGAGGAAAAGTAGAGTGAAAATAGTTGCAGAATGTGGGGGGATTGAATAAATTTGTGGAGGGCAAAGCTGCACACAGCTACTAGACACAATAACTTGCCTTCTGCCTCCACCAACACAAGCAGCATGCCTCTAAATGCCCAAAGCCCTGGAGTTACTGCCTGTCAGTGTAGACAATACTGACCTCAATGGACCTCTGACCTGACTCAGTGTAAGAGAGCTTCCTGTGTCCAACAGGCTGCTATTATTATCTTGTGAACTACCCTGAGATATTATGACGAAGGGTGGTATAGAAGTCTAATAAATAAATGGAAATAAAAATAGATGACTGACTTGCACAGCACGTAGTTAAACTGTGGAACTGGCTTCTGCAGAAGGCAGCAGTGACCACCAATCAGGATGGCTTTAAGAGAGGATTTGACACATTTCAGGAGGTCAAGTCTCTAGACTGCTAATAGCCACAGTGGCTATGCTCTTCCTCCACTTGCCCAAAGCAGTAATGCTTCTGAATTCTAGTTACTGGGAATCGCAAGAGGGCTTCCCATAATGGGCATCTGGTTTGGCTGCTGTGAGGACAGGATGGTGCGGGTGGTGCTGTGGTCTAAACCACTGAGCCTCTTGGGCTTGCCGATCAGAAGGTCGGCGGTTCGAATCCACGCGACGGGATGAGCTGCCGTTGCTCTTTCCCAGCTCCTGCCAACCTAGCAGTTCAAAAGCACACCAGTGCAAGTAGATAAATAGGTACCGCTGCAGCGGGAAGGTAAACGGCGTTTCCGTGCACTCTGGTTTCTGTCACGGTGTCCCAGTGAGCCAGAAGCGGTTTAGTCCTGCTGGCCACAGGACCTGGAAAGCTGTCTGTGGACAAACGCTGGTTCCCTCGGCCTGAAAGCGAGATGAGTGCCACAACCTCATAGTCACCTTTGACTGGACTTAACTGTCCGGGGGTCCTTTGTTTGTTTGTTTTTTTACCTTTTTACCTTTGGCCTGATCCAGCAAGCTCTCCTCATGTGTCTTATTCTGTTGCAGGCATAGCAACATTTCTCTTTTTTCTCATGTTGCAGGCTGGCCAATTCTGTTGGGTCTAACTGGGATCCCTGCAGTACTGCAGCTTTTCCTGCTTCCCTTTTTCCCTGAAAGTCCCAGGTACCTGCTGATCCAGAAGGGAGATGAAGCGAGTGCCAAAGCAGGTAAAACACCTACTTATAAGATACAGTCTAAAATGGAGGGAGGTCTTAAGCTACTGAAGGTAATGGGGACCTTTATATTTCCAGCTGTCCTTTGCCAACAAAAAAATTGCTGCTGTTTTTTGTGTTGGATATGTGCTATATGGTAATTTATGGACCTAATAGATATCTAAAACCATTTGCGCATGTTGCCATGCAACCAGTCCATGCAGAATGTAGGCACTCTATATAGAGAAATGAGCAAACCAGACAAAACACCGTTGCTGTATGTAGGTTTTATTTTATTTGTTTTTTGTCTTATATTTTGGAAATGCACATCCAGTTGTTTTTTTCCTTTAAATTTTTTTTGGCGCCCCCAAGAGAGTGGGGCCCTAAGCTATAGCTTGTTTAGCTTATAGGTAAAGCAGTCATGAAAGTAAAGGACGCCTGCTTCTTGGGAGAAAAGCAATGACAAACCTAGACAGCATCTTAAAAAGCAGAGACATCACCTTGCCAACAAAGGTCTATATAGTTAAAGATATAGTTTTCCCAGTAGTGATGGAAGTGAGAGCTGGACCATAAAGAAAGCTGATCGCCGAAGAATTGATGCTTTTGAATTATGGTGCTGGAGGAGACTCTTGAGAGTCCCATGGATGGCAAAAAGATCAAATCTATCCATTCTGACGGAAATCAGCCCTGAGTGCTCACTGGAAGGACAGATCGTGAAGCTGAGGCTCCAATACTTTGGCCACCTCATGAGAAGAGAAGACTCCCTGGAAAAGACCCTGATGTTGGGAAAGATGGAAGGCACAAGGAGAAGGGGACGACAGAGGACAAGATGGTTGGACAGTGTTCTCGAAGCTACGAACATGAGTTTGACCAAGCTGCGGGAGGCAGTGGAAGACAGGAGTGCCTGGCGTGCTCTGGTCCATGGGGTCACGAAGAGTCGGACACGACTAAACGACAACAAAAGTCCACCACTGGGAGGGAGGCTGGGTAGAGAAGAGCAATATGAAACTGCATCTAACAAGTGTGTATTTTACTACCTGCAAACTGCTATGGAGGCATACAAACAACTCCTTGCTCGGTTATCCTGTCTCCGAGAGTGGTAGGATATCTGTAAAAAGTCCATACTCATAACTTAAGGGACAGCTTCTTGCTGGTCAAACCAAAGCTATCTCCTGTGGCCTGAGCTCAGGTGTGACACAGCATCTGAATACAGTACCTGTGGGCCCTCCCAATGACGCTGAACTCCAGCTCCTGTCGATGCCTGCAGGGGCTGATGGGAGTTGTAGTCCAAAACTTCTAGGGAATGGATTGACAGTGGTTTTCCAAAGGGGGCATTACCCCCCCCGCCCCAGGGGAGAAGTGGGATTCCCTGGAGGGTGCTGGCGGTGTAACTTACTAACAGTCTTTGAATTGCTGGATCAAGTCCATCTATTTTTGTTGAATTAATTGAACTAGTTTTAATTGGAATGTGAATAAATGTGCGATTAATCATTACCAGGGGTGCCAACTTGAATAAAATATTGGAGAGGGGGGCAGGTAAGCCCTGCCCTACATAATCACAAGACGTGGTTCACGCACATCATTTGAATGTCAACGCCTGTCAACTTCGGGGGTGCCCGACTCCCTCAAATATTTTATTGATCTGTTTTATTGATCGTTACTGTTTTAAATGTTATTGTGTTACTGTCTTCCTTAGTGGGTTGTGCAAACCGCTATTCTGAATACAGTGGTACCTCGGGTTAAGTACTTAATTCGTTCCGGAGGTCCGTTCTCAACCTGAAACTGTTCTTAACCTGAAGCACCACTTTAGCTAATGGGGCCTCCTGCTGCTGCCGCGCCGCCAGAGCACGATTTCTGTTCTCATCCTGAAGCAAAGTTCTTAACCCGAGGTAATTTTTCTGGGTTAGCGGAGTCTGTAACCTGAAGCGTATGTAACCCGAGGTACCACTGTAATGCCTTTTATAGAGCAGCTGGGCAGGATGGCACTGGGGTTGGGTCTATGGAACCAAGGACCCATGAAAGTTTAGGAACCGCTGTTGTTCATGAATGAAAAACCTTGTGAGTGGCGTGGGCTGCAGGCAAAGCACCTCCAGTCTTTTCTGCCAGGTTCCTGCCACCTTGGTGACCTTCCTTCCTTCCTTCTTCCCATCCAGCCCTGAAGAAGCTGAGGGGCTGGGATGACGTAGAGGAGGAGATGGAGGAGATGCGCCTGGAGGACCAGGCGGAGAAAGCAGAGGGGCGGATGTCCGTGCTGACCCTCTTCACCTACCGAGGCCTCCGCTGGCAGCTCATCTCCATCATCGTGATGATGGCGGGGCAGCAGCTCTCCGGGATTAACGCAGTAAGTAAACCAGCATCCCAAGTAACACTTGACCATAGTTGGGTGTGATGGGCCTCACTAGAAGGGGATCTAAGAGCAACTTCGCCGTGTCTCCTGACTCTGGGCTATGCATCACACTTCTTCCTTTGCAGAGGTACCGTATTTTTCGCTCTATAGGACGCACTTTTCCCCCTCCAAAAATTAAGGGGAAATGTTTGTGCGTTCTATGGAGCGAATGCGGGCTCCTTGGCTTCAGCGAAAGCAACGCGAAGCCACCAAAGCGCAGAGGGAGTGCTCCCTCTGCACTCCAGAGGCTTTGCGTTGCTTTCGCTGAAGCCTGGAGAGCGAGAGGGGTCGGTGCGCACTGAAGCCTTTGGAGCACAGCAGGACCTCGCACTGCACTCCAAAGGCTTCGGGTTCCTTTTGCTGAAGCTGGGAGAGCTGCGCAGCGCTCCCTCTAGCTATTCTGGCCTTTGGATAGCCCCGCGAAGCGGCTATCTCAGAAGCCAGAACAGCAAGAGGCTATCCCAGAAGCCAGATCCCTCTTGCTGTTCTGGCTTCTGGGGTTCAGAATTTTTCTTTTCTTGTTTCCTCCCCGCCAAACTAGGTGCATCCTATCATCTGGTGCGTCCTATAGAGCAAAAAATACGGTACCTTGCCAGAACAGACCAAAGAGGCCTATCTAAGCCTAGCATCCGGATTCCCATCATGCCTAACGATGGATGCTTAAGAACATAAGGAGCCTGTTGGATCAGGCACAGCCTGTATTTTATACTGTATGTTATGCTGTTTTACAATTAAGTGTTTTAAATTTGTTGTTAGCCGCCCTGAGCCCGGTTTTTGAACAGGGGAAGGGCAGGTATAAATAAAATTTATTATTATTATTATTATTATTATTATTATTATTATTCCCATAGGGGCATCCAGTTGGCCCCAGGGTGCTGGACTAGATGCTCCTTTGGTTTGATCCAGGAGGGCTCTACCTATGTTCTTTTCTTACTCACCATTCGCTTCTTGCAAGAGAATCGGACAAATTTACAGAGGTTAAGGCTAGCAGTGATGCCTCTGAATAGCAGTTGCTGAAAACTGGAGGAGAGCAGAGAGCTCTTCTTCTGCTCAAGTCCTGCTTGCGGGTTTTCCACAGCCACGTGTTCAGCTACGGTGAGAACAGGACGCTGGACTATTCCTGCATTGCAGGGGGTTTGGCTAGATGACCCCTGGGGGTCCCATTCTGACTCTTACCATTCTGGGATTCCATTGGGCCGATCCATCTCGGCACTCTTCTGACGTTCAATGCTTTCCTGCTTGTGGGCATGACTGAAGTTCGGTTGCTTGTTTGTCTTTCATCCAACCCCAGGTCTACTACTATGCTGACAGTATATATAGGAGCTCAGGTGTGGAGGAAAACGACGTGCAGTTCGTGACCGTGGGGACAGGGGCCGTCAATGTCGTGATGACGTTGTTAGCGGTACGGCTTACCATGTTGATTTATTATTATTATTATTATTATTATTATTATTATGCACCAGAGCTGGGTTAGGTGCTCGACCTTGTGTGGGGTGGGGAAGCTTATTATTATTATTATTATTATTATTATTATTATTATTATTATTATTATTATTATTTAACAAAGTTTATATTGATGGTAACAACCTGGAAGCAAGAAATATTAATATTATCAAGAAAGGGGTTTCAAGGTGGCAGCCAACTTCAAACTGCTCCTCTGATAAGCTTTTAATTTAACCTAATTAATTAATTAATTGATTAATTAATGCATGCATGCATTTAACATTTTAATACTTTCCTTTTATCTAAGCAAAATAGTAAATATTCCTGTAGTGGGGTTTAAGCTGCTTTTGTTATAGTCATGCTACTAAAATGATCACTTAAAGAACAGGTTGAAAAACAAGTAGTGAAAAATTGTTTATTAGCACCTCACATTGCAACTCCCTGGCTATTGATAATTATGCATGTGCCTTCACTGGGGTCCTTTTCGCGCCTGTTAAAAACATTTTTGTTTTGTCACGCTTACCCAGATATCTAAAACGCTGGTGTGTTTTTAGGTTTTTTGCTGGTTTTGATTTTTTAAACATTTTAAATAGTTGTTTTCATCGTTCTTGCCAATAATTTTATTGTTTTGTTCTGCTTTGAGGATTTTTACAGTCAAATTTTATGAAATAAATCATTTCATTTCAAATTCACTTTTAGGATTAAATAAATAAAAACAAACCCATTTAAAGTAGTAAAATATGTACATATGAACTAATGGTGTTCACTGCTAGCAGCAGTTAAGAGGATCAATACTCCCTACAGCTGCATAAAGTAGTTTGTAAAATAGCAGAGTGTGAAAACTGCAGGGATCCAACACGAAAAGCCCCGTTGGACTCAATGTAGGGAGCTTGTCTTGAATCTGCTGGTGTAAGAATTCCATAGCTGTGGTGCCACCACCGAAAGGCCCCCGAATGAATCCTTTGCACACAAATTTACAGGCTGCTCTCTTCCTCCCTATCTTCTAGGTCTTTATTGTTGAGTCCCTGGGGCGGAGAATTCTGCTTCTGGCCGGTTTTGGGATCTGCTGTGTTGCCTGTGCTGTGCTAACGGTGGCTCTGAATCTCAAGGTGCGTTTAGTGAGCATCTTTGCCTGGGCGGGGGCGAGGGGCAGCTGTCCTCACCAAGATTTTCTGCATCTATAACATGCAAGTATCAACCACCGTGAAGCATAACAACAGTCCTCTCCTCCACCCTTTCACAGGCATAGATTATTTAATAGCATAGGCCTGGGTAAAGAGTAATATTTTTGCCTGGCGCCTAAAGACATGCAATGATGGCACCAGGCAAGCCTCTATGAGGAGAGCATTCCAAAGTTGGGGGCCACCACAGAAAAGGCCCGTTCTCTTGTTGCCAGCCTCTGAACCATAGCTGTCAACTTTCAGATTTGAAAATAAGGGATCAGCAGCCTCACCTATCCTGGGGACAGTCTATGGGATATCTAACAATCTGGGATAGCAGCGGGAAGCAGTGGGAAACGGCGCTGGAATAAGGGAATTTCCTGCCAAAAAAAGGGAAGGTTAACAGCTATGCTCTGAACCTCTATGGGATTGGGGACATAGAGAAGGGCCTCAGATGACAAACACAGGATCCGGGTCAGTTTGTTTGCAGAGAGGCAAGCCTTAACATATTGAGGTCCTGTGTATTATTATCTAGAGCGTTTGTACTCCACCCGTCAGCCAAAAAGGTTGGCCGTGCCTGTCACCTTCCTGCTCCCTAGTCCCAGTCTTGCCTTTCTAGAAATCAGTAGGAAAGAGGAGGATGTGGAGACAAGTAGTTAGCTCTGCCTGTTATTGCTTCTTGGGTCAGCCATTCGTTGAGCTCTGGCTCCCCCTACTGTCGGGCTCCCTGCCTTCCGCCCAACAGGCACCAACCTTCACTGGTGTTCGATCGCCCTTCTTGTTTCACTGTTGACGCCTCAACAGGGAAACTGAGAAATGGCTCTAAACAGCAACCCAATTCCTCAACAGCACATCAACGGGATGCCCTACTTGAGTATAGCCTGTGTTATCGCCTATGTCATCGGACACGCTATCGGAGCCAGTAAGTATGCTCAGAAAAATGAATGGTTTCCTTACATCTCTATAGTATCATTGCTGGTGTGAATCAAACATTTCCCTTGCTCATTCAATCCTTTTGCACCTCAGGCTGGGGGAAACTCCTGTCTGGAAACCCCAGGAGCTCCTGCCAGACGGTGTAGATAACACTGAGCTAGATGCAGCAGTGGTCTGACTCTGTATAAGGCAGCTTCCTATGCCCCTGTATCTCAAGGGAAGGGCTGTAGCTTAGTGGTAGAGCATCTGCTTTGCATGCAGAAGGTCCCAGGTTCAATCCCCGGCAGAGTCATCATCATCATCTCCAGGCAGGGCTGGGAGAGACCTCTTCCTGAAGCCCTGGAGAGCTGCTGCCAGTCAGTGTAGACCAGGCATGTCCAAAGTCCTTTTTGGGGCCTAATCCAGCCCGCCGGTCAGTTTAATCATGCTCCTGTGGCAGTTTATTTCCTGGGGTAAAAGCTCAACAACTTCAACCCTAAAAAAAGGACAACAATTTTGGTTGGTCCTTTGGTCAGCCCTCACGGCCCTTCACTTCATCAAAACTGGCCTTCTTTGAAAAAGTTTGGACACCATTGGTGTAGACAGTTCTGAGCTAGGTGGACCAATGGTCCGATTCAGTAAAAGGCAGCTCATTTATTATGGAATTGCTTTGAAGTGCTTCATTGGAAGCAATTCACGAATGTAAAGCAATATCGTAACGCCCTTGTACAAATCTATGGAGCAACCTCGCCTCAAAAAGGATATTGTAGAGTTGGAAAAGGTTCAGAAAAGGGCCACCAAGACAACTAAGGGAATTGAATTTTGGATGATTCAAGACAGATAAAAGGAAATCCTTCTTCACATTGTTAAACTATGGAGCTCCCTTCCAAAGGAGGCAGCGATGGCCACCAACTTGGATGGCTTTGAGACAAATTCCTGGAGGAGATAGCTATTGTTGGCTACTAGCCATGATGACTATGCCCTGCCTCTACAGCTGGAGGCAGTCAAGTTTCTGAATACCAGCTGCTGGAGACCATGGGAGGGGAGAGGTCTCTTGTGTTTGAATCCTGCTTGCGGGTTTCCCACAGGTTGGCCACTGTAAGAACAGGATGCTGGACCACCTGGGCCACTGGCTTGATCCAGCAGGCCTTTCTTATGTCCTTACACATGATAATAAATAATCATCCCTTTCTCCCTTCTCCCAGGCCCGATTCCGAGTGTGATGATAATTGAGATGTTCCTCCAGTCGTCTCGCCCAGCGGCATTCATGGTTGGAGGCTCTGTTCACTGGCTTTCAAACTTCACAGTGGGTTTGGTCTTCCAATACATGGATGTAAGGAAATTGCGGATTCGTAACATTTCTGCTTAAGGCGATTCAGTTTTATACAGGGGCACAGAATATGTTTCTCTTTGGGGCAGCCTTCAGAGCATTACTCTGATTTAGCCAGCCCAGAGGCCTCCACTTTTGTTAGGAGCAGATTGGGACCCTCCTGGCTCCTTCTTATCACTGGATCCCTGGTGGCTTGGAAGCTGTAATACCACCCTTTGGCCATCTAGTGTGGTGGCGCTGCAGTGCAGGCCAACTCTTTTCCATGCAAATTGCCCTGGGGTTGCCACTCTAGGCATCCCAGCCATGCTGTCGAAATTCCCTACTCCAAGTCCCTAAATGCTTCCTGTTGGATTGTTCATGGCGAGTGCTAGCCTTTGACAATGCTAGACATTTGCCAAGGCCCACCCTAGCAGAATCAAATGGTAAAGTTTTTCTGCTTTGGGTTACAAGAGGGGAAGGGAATATTTTGCAGCTCGGGGGCCATGTTCCTTTCTGTGCAACCTTCCCGGGGCCACTGCTGGGAGGGGTTACACGACAGAGATTTGCTTCTCTGCAATAGAGGGTTGTCAACTCAATGTAGACCCATTGAAATGAATAGACCCAAGTTTGTTGTGTCCATTAATCTGAATGGGACTACTCTGAGCAAGACAAGCACTGCATACAACTCAGCGTGGTCCTAAATCGAGCCAACATCCCAATGCATTTTGAACCTGGTGATGGTTCTTCTGGAGTAAAGAGTATGAAAAACAAAATCAGTTTCCAGTAACTCATCTCATCTCTCTCTCTCCTGTTCTCACTTATTTTTCCTCTATATAGCAAGGACTCGGGGCCTATTCCTTCCTCATTTTCTGCGGCATCTGCTTGCTCACCGTCATTTACATCTTCCTAGTAGTCCCCGAAACCAAGAACAAAACCTTCATGGAAATCAACCAGATTATGGCGAAGAGGAACGGCACGGAAGAAGAGGCGGACAAAGAGGAGCTGAAGGATTTCGGCGCCATCTCACAGCCTTACAGCAAAAAAGCCGAGGCGCAGAGGAACAGCGCCCTTTAAGACGCCTCTGGTCCCTCGCCTAGGAGTGGCTGAAGCCCAACTCTCCTCCAGCCGTCTTGGTGGCAGATGCCATCCTTCGAATTTCCTCTCCCTCCCCGCATTGTCATGGGCGAGGTGTAAATAACCCCGTGTAGCTGTGCCCTGCGGTACCCTCCTTGCTACATCCTTCTCACATGGACAAAAACTCCCACCAGCAACCCCCAAAAAAAGATACTGCCCTTTCTCTAGCATCAAAGACTTTGCCATTTCTGGATGCCTTGCCTATAATTCACCTGTTCAAGACATATTTCTGAAGAAGCAAGATGGGGAACTTCTTCCTAATTCGGAAGTGTTTCCAAAGATGGTAACTGAGTTTGGAGGACGTTGGCAAAGTGATCTGCAGGCAGATGTGTGTTTGGTTGTTAGGCTGCTGTGAATCCGTCTGACCTGAGATTCACTGTATGGCTGGACCCAAAATCCTCTTAGAAATGTAGCGTTTCCTCTCTGCATTTCAGCACAGGGGCAAGCATTTCCTTCTCACGAAGCCATGCTGCTTACACTGGGGTAAGGTGAACAGACAATTCTTCTGCCTTCACATCCCATAAACTGAAGCACACGCCTGGGGATGTACTCGGAGATGACTCAAGATAATCTGATTTTAGACACCTAGCATGCAATTCCTCTTTGCCAAAGGCGGAGGACGTGCCAAAATTCAGCGCCTTGTAAAAGATACGAAGAATAATCAGGCGAGGCTGCACGGGAAAGTTTCACAGAGCTGGAAGGGGCCTCAAGAGCATTCAACTGCGTTTAACAATTTTCCATGTTATGTGGAAATCAGGGACTTTGGCTGAGGCTTTGACACCCCGTATCACAGCAGTGGGGGACATAATTGTGCCCCCCAGCCCCTCCGCCATTGACCCACAAGACCATTTCAGCCAAGCCATACCCACAGGCCGTCTTATTGGAGGGTTCCTAGTAGACCCATCAAAGAGAATGAACATGACTACCTTAGATTCATGCATTCCAGTGGGTCTGCACTGAGCATAATTCGGTTGGATACAATCCTGAGATCTTGTAGGACGTCAGGTGCAGGCAGGTAAAGACCTGACCCAGCCAAAAAGGGCTTCGCCAAACCTACCCACCCCAAAACCAGCCCTAGTGCAACACAAACCCAGAGGCCTTTCATCTGCTGCAGCCCTTATTTTAACTCTGCATGGGGGTGGGCATGTGACAGAGTCCCTGTTTCATTGCAGGAAGCCCTGCCAATGGAAAAAAGTGAAACTCTATCTGTCCAATGCCTGCACTGGCATTTCTAGCCTTAAAAAGCCCCCACGCCCAACTTGATGGGGTTCCTAACGAGGTCTCAAATGACACAGTGGACCCAGAATAATTCTGAATTCCTTGCTGGAGAGTGTGCATGTGTTTACAGCGGGGTCAAAATGTTTTGGCATCTATCTCTGCTCGTTAAGGAAGTGAAAGGAGTCTGTTACAACACAGTTTTTAACCTCAGCTCTTCCCCTGCTGCATTGGTATCAATTGCCAGGCTATAATGGTTATAACTAAAACACTAATTTTAATCATTTTGATTGTCATTAAAGCACAAATGGAGCTCTAATTTTGATTCAGCCTTAGCTGAAGAGGCAAATAATCTAGAAGGCATTATCCCTTGAATGCCTTCCATCTGACCAGCTTAAGATTTTGCTGTCTGCTTTTCCTGAAAGTAGACATTTTTCTTACCACCTAGAAACAATCATAAAAATTTGCAATTTAATTTTAAGCACAATTTACCATGTGCTTTAAAAAGTGGTGAACGGGTGTCCTTGCTTGTGGATGAAGTGAGGAATACAATACACATTTGGAATTTTTAAAATTATTGTTATTTTAGTATTGAACTGGGGTTATTTTAGAGGGGAAAGCAGGTTTTTAGGATTAAGGGATGTATAACACACATTCTAAGGGACGCAGGTGGCGCTGTGGTCTAAACCACTTGAGCCTAGGGCTTGCCAATCAGAAGGTCGGCGGTTTGAATCCCCGCGACGGGGTGAGCTCCCGTTGCTCGGTCCCAGCTCCTGCCAATCTAGCAATTCGAAGGCACGTCAAAGTGCAAGTAGATAAAAAGGTAAGGTAAGGTAAACAGTGTTTCCATGCGCTGCTCTGGTTGCGCCAGAAGCGGCTTAGTTATGCTGTCCACATGACCCGGAAAAACTGTCTGCGGAGTGGACAAATGCTAGCTCCCTCGGCCTGTAAAGTGAGATGAGCGCCGCAACCCCAGAGTCGTTCGTGACTGGACTTAACTGTCAGGGGTCCTTTACCTTTAGCACACATTCTGGTTTAAATCTGTGTTTTGCTGCTCTACGCCCAGCAGTGGGTTATCTCAGCCAAGGGATACTGGCCAAGTCAGTGGAGGCTGGTTCATTAAGGGCAAATCCATTTGCCCTAAGCCACACTCCACCTGCCTGCTTTATTACTCAACAGAAAGTGTAGCTTCTTTCCCTTTAGTTTCTGTATTGCCCTTATAGAACCGAATGGAGGAGGATGGGGACAAAACTACAGTCAGACGGCTCTGTCTGTCATTTACTCTGGCTCCATCTGCTGGTGAGCTCCCTGTCTTACACCCTACCAGTTCCAACAGGAACCAGCCACCTCTGGGCCAAGGAAGGAAATGGGAGAGAACTGATAAACACAGGTGGTTTTTGTATCAACAGAACTAACAATTTCTCTCACACCGAACAGGCTTGATTATCCTGGGTGGTGTGTATATATGGAAACAAACCAAAACCCCTTTCACATAGAAAACTCAGATTAGAATAGTGTTAACCTAGCCTTGCCCTTGACATGCTAGCTTTCCACATGCAACCTGAAGTGGCAGAGCCAGGTTAACCACCTGTGTGTGAATTAGGCTTGCCTGAGTGGGTCCCTTTTCCTGGCCCAGTACTAAAGATTTTTTTTAAAAAAACAACAACCCAGAACAAAGGATTAATTGCTTTAAAACAAGGCAAATTGTTGGTCCATCTAGCTCAGTGCTGCCTACACTGACTGGCAGTGACTCTCGGGTTTCAGGCAGGGGATATATTCTCAGCTTTACTAGGAGATGCTGGGGGATTGAACCTGGGACCTTCTGTGTGCAAGGCAGATGCTTTACCAATGAGCTATGGCTCTCTGGGGTTCCATAGCTATGGCTCTCTGGGGTTCCCAGTCTTATCTGGAGCTGCCTGGGATTGAACCTGGGGCTCTCTACATGCAAAGCAGGTGCAGCTATGGTCTCAGCCGCACACTCCATTAATTGGGATGCTCAGCTGGTCTCAACGATCAAGGTGGGCTCTCATAATTGACCCAAGCTGTCCTAAGGAATAGGCAATGCAACCAAATACTTGTTTTTCAAGAATTTTGAGTCCCAGCATGTTCAGTTGATCTTGCTGCCCAGTAAGTTTTGAGCTTCAACCTAAATCTCCCAGTTTTATTATGGGTTTCTGTTTACTCACTGTATGCTTCCTCCCATCCATTTTTAATTGTTGCTTGTTTGGACTTCATATAACAAGACACACAAGTTTAATCACAATATATGATTGATCTTCAAGTGCCTCCAGATTGCCTATTATTAAGCATCCATTTCAATACATTTGCAAGAGGTTAAATGAAGCTGCATCACAGCAAGTATTAATCCACAGTTTCCAGCTCATATCCTCCATCACTTTCCTTACTGCAAAAAGAGAAGTGGATTTGTTCTACAGACACTCCCAAGCAACTATAATGGTGCAACCTGAATTTGCCAGTATATGATTGAATCCCTCTTGAAAATAGTGACAGTCTGGAAGAGTCCTTGGTTTCAAGGTGTATGATGAGTTTCTCACCTGCCCCACAAAACAAAAAAACAGTATTTGTCTATGAACAAAGGGGAAGAGTGTTTAAAAAGACAATTTTGTAAAAAGAGTGGATATTGTGTGTGTTGTTTGCTGGTTGATTGCTATTTTTCATCTCCCTGGAAGGGGGATACATTTTGTACAAAAGATCATTGTCTATTTTTGTAAATAGAGCAAAAAATAAAAAATAAAAGCCATCTTATAAAGCCTGGAAAAAACACAAGGATGTTTAGTGTTGCTAAAACTCAGGAATGACAAGCCAGGTTTAACTGGTGCATACTTTATTATCATTATAACATGGTTGTACTGCCTCTACGAGCAAAAGAAGAAAACGAAAACCCCAAACATGTTTGTTTTGCCATGAAATGCACACAGCATTGATTTAATCCCCTCTCCAGTTTCCCAGGTGGAGTTGATTGAGGTTGGGCCCTAAGGGGTTTTGCAAATAATTTTGCTTCAAAGAGAGGCCTGTGTCCTCCTGTTTTCATAAACCTAAGCTCAGCACTCGGATCACACCCAGATGATTTATCCAATCAATGCTTGGAGGTCTGCAAACCTCTCTGATTTAAATTCAAATGTGGTTTTTCTCAGGATCACGCCTGCAGGCTTATCTTCCCTTCCGAAACAAAATGGCAGTAACCATATATCAGGAAGTATATATGTCTATCCATGCATGAAATAAGATTCAGTTGCGTATTTTGAAACAATGTCACCAACACACACACACACACACACACACACACACACACACACACCAGGATCCTATGAAGTACAGATGTGGCATCAATGACACGCATGCAGATATGAAAGCCTGTCTCCTGGAGGACATGTTTTCAGGACTTAAGAGAACACCCAAGCAGGGATCTAGGATGGCTCTGAATCATGCAAAATGTTTAGGCAGATAGCTAGTCATCACACACTATACATTTAATGCACTCTTACACTGCTTTTTAACAAGGCATGGCTTCCCCCAAAGTAATCCTGGGAACAGTAGTTTGTTAAGGGTGCCGAGAGTGGTTAGGAAACCCCTTGCAGAGCTATAGTTCCCAGCACCCTTAAACTACAGCTCCAAAGATTCTCTGGGGGAAGAGAGTGGCGTAAGGGCAGCATTCAATGAATGGTGAGGATGTGACCCAAACTTGATGGGGATGGGAAGAGGGTGGGGGTCTCCTTCCCACCCCTCACAGCCACACAGGGCTAAACCTGCCAGCTAATCTAAGGTTTGTCTATCTCTCATCAGTGCCTTGCTAAGGAGGACTCTGTGTGGCACAAACAGGTGGTTTACCTTTACTTCTCCCAGGGTCCCTCGCTACAAGGATTATCATGCTATGCAGGGAGAAGTATCTGAAACGCAGAAAATTCTACATGATCTCACAAACAGGCCGCCAAACAACACAAAATTGAGTACAACCAGAATGAGGTTTTTTTCTCTCCGCCTCTCGCCCTCTCCTGCAGTTTGTGTTCATTTCCATTCCATGCTGACATAATCGGTAATAAACATGAAAGAATTACGGGGCATTCTCTTCATTGCATGGTGAGATTTTCCTGCAACGAGAATATCCCCTCCTCTCCCCTCAAGGATCTGGCCCAGTCCTTAGAAGACCTAGAGAAGCTCTCAGCGTGGAAGGAGAATCAGTCTATAATCTGGATATCTTGAAGGAAAGGTGGGGAGTAAAGACTACATTTGCGTCCCAACCAAACAGGGGTTGGTTTTTTTAAACCTCTCAGCACGGATTCATGCCTGATCAGCGAGAATCACCCGCAGCTGGTGTCAGCATCCACCACAACTCCCCCCCACAAGGTCATGGGTGTTTCGCCCCAAGATATGATATCCCCCTTCTGGTTGTCATGTTTGCACAAAGTGAGCTCCTGGACGTCGTCGTTGTCCAGGAGGCTGCTCCAGAGGTTGACGTGGCTCATCCATCCAGAAAATGGGTTGGCGAAGATGTCCATCACAGGGTTCTTGTATTTCCCAAGGAGCGCCTTCCCGCCACTCTGGATCACGTAGCCTCTCTGGACGTTCTTGACCGTGCCCTTGGCTCCGTTGACCCACAGGTTGACAGTGCCCGAGTCGGAGGCCCAGGTGACGCAGTGGTGGACCCACTCCTCGGACTTGCGGTGCAAGTCGAACTGCACCGAGGTGCCCCCAATGGACACGCCCACGCCGATGCCCACGGTGACCACCAACTCGTTGTCCCTCTCCGGGGTGGAGTAGAAGAAGACCGTTTGCCGCCCTTCGTTCAGGTTCTGGGCCCAGAAGCAAAGCGTGAAGGTTTTGAGCATCATGGCCTGCAGGGGGCGCACCTCGGCGTAGCTGGCCGTGTTGTCGCGGGAGAAGTAAAGGGCTTGGGTGTGGACCGGGATGTGACCTGGAAGAAGGAATCAGAACCTCTCAGGTGTGGGCTGGGTTTGAACAGACACTTGGGACAACCTATTGGAACTGCTCGTTCTGCAATAGGATGGTCGTCTTCCAGCAGAACTATAACCCACTGCCCTTTGTTTAAGGAGATGTGACCAGCTGGATGAATTCAGGAGGAATTTGAAAACATTCCTGTCCTAAAATTTACAGCATGCTGTACATTGAAGGAAAATTATATGAAAATGATGTATCGCTGGTATTTAACACCTGCTAAATTAGCAAAAGGGACGCGGGTGGCACTGTGGTCTAAACCACTGAGCCTCTTGGGCTTGCTGATCAGAAGGTTGGCGGTTCAAATCCCCGCCACGGGGTGAGCTCCCGTTGCTTGGTCCCTGCTCCTGCCAACCTGGCAGTTCAAAAGCACGCCAAAAATGCAAGTAGATAAATAGGTACCACTCCGGCGGGAAGGTAAACGGCGCTTCCATGCGCTGCTCTGGTGTCGCCAGAAGCGGCTTAGTCATGCTGGCCACATGACCCGGAAAAACTGTCTGCGGACAAACGTCTGCTCCCTCGGCCAGTAAAGTGAGATGAGTGCCGCAACCCCAGAGTCGTCTGCAATTGGACTTAATTGTCAGGGGTCCTTTACCTTTTTAAATTAGCAAAAATGTATAGAACTGCTTCAAATGTATGTTGGAAGGAGAAGGAAGGCACGTTCTACCACATGTGGTGGATGTGCAGGATAACCAAAGCATTCTGGGATATGATATATAATGAGTTGAATTTTTTTTTATTAAAATAATGTTTGTGGAAAAATCAGAAGCTATTAGGAATTCTAGATGCAGGAATACCAAAGGAGTAGAAAAGACTATGTACGCAACGACAGCAGCGTGGGTACTACTGGCCTAGAAATGGAAAGAAGATAAAGTCCCCACCAGGGACGAATGGCTGATAAAGATGATGCATTACGTCAAAATGGCAAAAGTGACCAGGGAAATCAGAAACCAGGAAGATAGAAACTTTATCAAGGAATGGGAAAAAATTATAGTTATTTAAGAGAACACTGTAAACAACTAAAAACTTTGGCAGGATTATGGCAACACTTGTGATATATGAAGAACTAAAGTAAAAAATTGATTTTTAAGATAAATGGAGAAACTATAAGATGCAGTAGAAAAAGTTTGACAATGGAAACCATGGAGGGGTGGAGGGAAATCTAAGGGTTCAGGGAATCCTATATGCTTATAATTATTAATGTTTAAATTCAAGTGTATATTGTAAAACTGAATATTTTTTTTAAAAAAGAAAACATTCCTGTCCACCCAGGCATTTAGTAGCTGATGGATGCAATTCCCGGCCACCCAAAGATCACTGGATAGAAGAATGTTTTTAATCGCAACTGGGTTTTTTTTTTTAAGATGTTTTCAATTGTTATCATTTTTAAGTGTTTTAACCTGTTTTAGAATGTGTTTGCTATGGTTTTGTTTGTAAATCTGTTTGGCGCCCTGGTCTCCTTGGAGAACAGAAAACGTGCCATAAATAATCAGGGCGTGGGGAGGGAAAGATGTCTTATTCTCTTACCAGGTTTCCCCATGATAGCCAGAACGTGCTTCTTCATCGCCTGCAGCTGAGTCCGTATTTCATCAAGGGTGGAAGAGACAGTTGACGGGTGACACATTTCTGGAGCGATGGAAGGATAATGATAGTTAGGCTTAATCCTCTTCTTATTTTTATATACAGTTGTACCTTGGTTGTTAGCCGCCCTGAGCCCGGTCTTGGCTGGGGAGGGCGGAGTATAAAGAATAATTATTATTCTTATTCTTTGAACAGCTTAGTTCTCAGACGTTTTTGGCTCCCAGACGCCGCAAACCCGGAAGTGACTGTTCCGGTTTGCGCACTATTTTTGGAAGCCAAACATCCGACGGGGATCTTCCTGCAGCCAATCGGAAGCCACACTTTGCTTTCTGAAGGTTTTGGAAGTCCAACAGATTTCCAGAATGGATTCCATTCGACTCCCAAGGTACGACTGTAGTCTCAGCAGTGCTTTCTGCAATAACATAAGGCAGGCTTATGCTAGGGGAGAAGGCTCTTGTGCTCGGGTCCTGCTTGGGTGCTTGCCACTGGGGCACGTGACTGGCCACTGTGAGAAGAGGGTGCTGCTATATGAGCCTTTGGCCTGATCCAGCAGGCTCTTCTCATGCTTCTAAGGCCTAGGGTCCTCCACTCCTGTCGCCTGCCTCCCTGCTGGCCTTAAGCTACTCAATTGTACCTTTGGTAACCTTGGCTTGGAAAGACGATTGGACTATCCGGTCATTGAGGGGCTGGACGTGGCGGTAATCGTTCCTCAGGGTATTGTTCTCCCAGTCCAATAAGGCGTTCTCCAGCAGCTTAACCTACCAAAAAAGCCAAGCAATATGTTCAAGAAAAACAGGAATCTCCTCCTCCTTGACATTCCACCTCTGTCCTACCTTTGGAAACAGAACTGCAAGGCTCCTTCCTATTCCAAGGCTTGCTGAAGACCTGACCTAGAGCCATTCCTCTTGGGAACAGGAGGTAGACAGGCTGCAACATTTAAGTGTTTGGATTTGATATCCCGCTTTATCACTACCCGAAGGAGTCTCAAAGCGGCTGACATTCTCCTTTTTCCCTTCCTCCCCCACAACAAACACTCTGTGAGGTGAGTGGGGCTGAGAGACTTCAGAGAAGTGTGACTAGCCCAAGGTCACCCAGCAGCTGCATGTAGAGGAGCGGGGAACTGAACCCGATTCACCAGATTACGAGTCCACCGCTCTTAACCACTAGACCACACTGGCTCCCTGTGTGGTATAGTTTAACATTCTGCTGCAGCATCTTTGCTGGTTCGTCTTTAACATTGCTTGGTTTTGAAGTAGGAGATGGAGCAAGCTGTTTGCTGGGGCTCACTAATCTACTCATATAGAGTAATAAATAATAATTGGGACCCCTTTACCTAAAGGAACATCTTTCCTCATATGAACTTGCCTGGGCCTTGAGATAATCTGGGCCTTGTGCGTTAACTCCAGAGGGTGGAATAGCTCCCTGTGGGATGGTTATCCCAGGAAAGTCCACTCGACTGTTAGAATTCCCGCTCCATGATTGCAGTCATGGGATTTTTGTCTATCACATGACGGTGTATGTTTTGACTCCACAGAGTGGGAAGTGACGCAAACAGGATGTTTGTGTTACTGTGTTCCATGAAGTGGGACTATTGTCCTTTGTTTTTTCTCTTTGCTGTCTGATGCAAGAGAGAGAGAGAGCCATGTTGCAGTGCTCCGTGTGTGTTTATATGTAAATAAAGTAGATTAGCCAAAATGCTGAGTTGCTGAGGTCTGTTATGCAAGCTGCGAAGACTCTGCGGATCCCTAAGTGTGCCAATGTCTGTTGGCATCGGTCGCTGTGATGTTTGGGCAAAAGAAAGCTTTTGAAGCTCACGAACAATCAACCAGGAGCATTCCCATGCCAGGCAAATACCATACTTTCCCGTGTATAAGACGATGTTTCTTATTAAAAAGTTATTAAAAAGTTATATTAAAAAGTTATGTTAAAAATTTGGGGTCGTCTTATACGCGGATAATGCATAGGGGGGCATGGGATTGGTTGCTGCCACAAGCCGGAGATTGTCAGTGGCTATTGGGCATGTTATTGGTGGTTGCATCAAGGGCTGGTGTTGATTGGCTGTCGCTGCAGGAATTGGGTGGGCAATTGGCAGCTTCTGCCAGTTAGGGGACAGACTAAAGGTGGCTTTCGCGACGCACGCAAGTGGCAGGTAGGTCAATTGGGTGAGTGATTTTCAGCATTCCCCCCTTAAAAAAATCTCAACAACTCTGCCTCCCTCCCCCCCCAAAAAAAGTTCAGCAACTCGCAACTCTGGGCAATCTCCCCCCATTTTTTTAATTTGGAGTAGCACAAAACAGGGGTGTCTTATACACGAGGGTGTATAATACGATACATTCTTGTTTTCCCAGGTGTTTTGGTTGCCCCAGTGAATTGATGTTTTAGCTGAGTACACACCATCCTTTTGAAGCATGTGGCTTCCCCCAAAGAATCTTGGGAAATGTGGAATCATAGAGCTGGAAGGGACCCTAAGGGTCATCAGGTCTAACCCCCTGAAATGCAAGAATATTTTGCCCAACATGGGGCTCGGACCATGTAGTTTGCTCCATCTCAGTGATAAAATCCCCAGCATCTTTAACCACCTATAATTCCCAAAACTCTTTGGAGGGCACAATGTGGCATAAATGTGCTTTAAATGTATGCTGTTTACATAGCCTACGGTTTTAATATGTTTTATACATTTATATTACTGTATTATAGGTACCCCTGCCCGTACGGGCCAGTCGTGTCCGACTCTAGGGTTGCGTGCTCATCTCACACTAGAGGCCGTGAGCCGGCGCCGTCCAAAGACACTTCCGGGCGACGTGGCCAGCGTGACGAAGCTGCAGCTGGCGAGCCAGCACCAGCACAGCACACGGAAACGCCGTTACCTTCCCGCTATAAAGCGGTCCCTATTTATCTACTTGCACTTAAGAGTGCTTTCAAACTGCTAGGTGGGCAGGAGCTGGGACTGAACGATGGGAGCTCACCCGGCCGCGGGGATTCGAACCGCCGACCATACGATCGGCAAGTCCTAGGCACTGAGGTTTTACCCACAGCGCCACCCATGTCCCTAACCTTGCTGTAAATCGCTTCGGGGATTTACCGTATTTTTCGCTCCATAAGACACACTTTTTTCCCTCTTAAAAACTAAGGGGAAATGTCTGTGCGTCTTATGGAGCGAATGTGTGATCCCTGGGGCTGGGGGGGGCGGAACCCGGGCTTCCCCCGTCAGTGACAGGCTGCCCTTCTCCCTCCTCGGGAAAAGCCCCCAAGAGCCACACACACACACTACGCGGCTCGTGAAAGGGAGTGCTGAGCAGAGCCTGGGATGCATACAGGCTCTGCTCAGCGCTCCCTTTAAATAATATTTCTTTTCTTGAATTCCCCCTCTAAAAACTAGGTGCGCCTTATGGTCAGGTGCGCCTTACGGAGTGAAAAATGTGGTAATTCTGAAAAGCGACTGATAAATTCAACAACAACAAAAGGAACAGACAGACCAATGCAGACCATTCTTACCTGCGTGTGAGACAGCTTGATGGGTGAATCAAATATAGTCCAAATCACGTTCTCTGTGCAGGGAGGTGTGGTCAGAGAGCCCTGGTATCTATAGAAATTGGCAAGGTTTTCTGGAAGCATGGACAGGAGATCCAGAGTGTTGAGTGTAGTTGACTGCCCTAAAAAAATAATAATACACACACATACACACATAAAAGCTTAGGAATTTTATGCAATATCCAAAGCAGATCAAATACTGGGTGACAGCTTTCAGCAGCTAGCTAGCACTGCAGCGATATCCCACTGCTCAAAACCAGGGTGGTAAAGAATCAAAAACAACCACCTTCATCTTGCCTGACCAAGAAATACGATGCCAAGGTTTAAAGGGAAACATACCTGCATACTTGATTTTGGCCAAGTTGGCAATGAAGTCGCTATAGTAAGTGTTTTCTAGGTTGCCATCCTGCAAGAAAGAAGGGTGGTATTTTAAATGGGTCATGTTTAAATGGGAAAGGAATGTGGGAAATGTCTATATTTTTTTGATGGAACCCCTTATATAGGATTTGTATATAAATTTCCCCTTGGCTCTTTTTGACGGCCCATGTAGGACCAGCATGGATAGCTGGCCCTGGTGAATATTTGACGTTTCCCCCCCATGACCCCATGGACCAGAGCACACCAGGCACTTCTGTCTTCCACTGCTTCCTGCAGTTTGGTCAAACTCATGTTGGTAGCTTCAAGAACACTGTCCAACCATCTCATCCTCTGTCATCCACTTCTCCTTGTGCCTTCAATCTTTCCCAACATCAGGGTCTTTTCCAGGGAGTCTTCTCTTCTCATGAGGTGGCCAAAGTATTGGAGCCTCAGCTTCACGATCTTCACGATCTATAGGCTACCACTAAAACGAGGCTGCATTTTAAGCTGTGTTTTAAACTGTATTCTAACATATTTTAATCAACTGTTTTTGTTTTTTGTTTTTTAATGTTTTTACTGTATTTATATTCAGTGTCAGCCACCCTGAACCCGGACTTGGCCGGGGAGGGCGGGGTATAAATAAAATTATTTATTATTATTTTTTATTATTATTATTATTATTATTATTATTATTATTATTATTATTATTATTATTATAGCTCAGTGGTTATAGCATCGGCTTTGCATGCAGAAGGCCCTAAATTCAATACTCCAGATATGACTGGGAATATCACCTGCCTTAAATCCTGGAGAGCCACTGACAGTCTGAGTGGGCAATATTCAGCTAGATGGATCAACATAGGGCAGCTTTCTATGTTTTCTCTCTCTCTCCACTCATTGATAATATGCTTTACCACAAGCATCCCCAACCTTCGGCCCTCCAGATGCTTTGGACTACAGTTCCCATCATCCCTGACCACTGGTCCTGTTAGCTAGGGATCATGGGAGTTGTAGGCCAAAACATCTGGAGGGCCGCAGGTTGGGGATGCCTGCTTTACCACGACATTTTGACACAGGGAAAAGCCACAGAGATAACATTCTTTCGCATTTTGCAGTTTCTTTTTGTTTGGCGCCCCCTCGTGGTTTCTCTCTCTTTAAAATCCAAATTGTTTGCAACAGCGTGCAAAGCATTCTCGCCAGAAGAAGAAAAACGAAGAAACTTTCCGCCAATTCTAGATCTCAGAACCTGGGCAACTAACTTTCGGGAATCTGAAACTTTCCCCAAATGCATCTTCAATTTAAATAGATAGATTCAACCTGAATTAGCCACCTACCGCGAAGAGAAAAGCCAGAACTGCCAAGCCATCCTGTTGAACCTTCGCTTGCTCAATGCTTGCATACTTGGCTGAGTTGTAATGGACGATATGCAGCTGGGGAAAGGATAAGGATGGCAGTGGTTAAAAAGCCAGGCAAGGCCATTTGCTGAGAGGTAGAGAACATGCCTTGCACATACACATTTGATCCTAGATTCAGGTAGGTAGCCGTGTTGGTCCGTGTTGGTCTGACGCAGGAGAAATATATTAAATATATATATATTAAAATATATTAAAATATAAAAATATATTTAAAATGTCCAGTAGCACCTTAGAGACCAACTAAGTTTGTTCTTGGTATGAGCTTCCGTGTGCATGCACGAGGTGCTACTGGACATTTTTAAAAAATATATATATTTCTACATTTGATCCTGATGGTCTATGGAGAAATAAAGTTGTTCCAAGCCATTCTTCAATCCTATAGTTTGTCTGTGAAACCAGAATCATTATACCTTTGTGTCTCTCTAGTTTGATTTTGTTTTTAAGCAACAATTACAAAAGGGTAGCTGTGTTATTCTCCTGCAGGAAAACCAAAGCTTTTTCCTGCCTCTTTACAGACTGACCAATTTATGATTGCATGAGGTTTCCTGGACAATAATCCACTCTATTGGATGCCTGATCCATGGCTGGTAGCAATTGTAATCAATGGGGGTCAGAAGGGAAAGAATTGCATAGAAGGTGTGTCTGTGCTAATTGCACTCTTAACAGGCCATTCACACCCACAAAAGGTTTCCCTGATAACACAGACATCTTGGCAGTTGCAGAGCGATTAACAAGCACAACAAAGCAGCCTATTCTCCTGATTAAAACCAAAGGTGATGGTGCTAAACCTCTTGAAGAATTGTTAATTCAGAGGCTGCAGTTCTCCCTTCAATTTATTCCAGTAATAGGAAGTGATGGGAAACTTTCTGTTCCTGACACTTGAAGAGCAGGCCAGATGAAGACATGTTGAGGCCCTAACAGAAGTCAAATTTAAAAGGGCCCATAGCACTTAAAATAAATAAATAATAATTATGGCCACTCACAGAGCTACAATTCTCAAAAAATTACAGCTCCCATAATTATTTGGGGGAAACCATGATTGTTGCATGTGGCATAAGAGTGCTTTAAATGTATGCATGGGCGTGGCCTTAGATCGCTGGTTTGCGGTCTGCAGCACAACCATAACATTTGGTGATTTTTAATTTTTTTGTATTTGGAGGCCCCTCGTGATCTGAGGCCCTATGCTCTGGCTTATTTACCACGTGCTCAAATCCCACACTGCTAGAGAGTAGCTACCAGTCAGTTGGCAATACCAGCCTCAACTGGAAATAGTCTTGACCTGGTATAAAGTACCTTCTGCTTTTCCTATGGGTTTGTGAGTGCGGGCGTTTGGTTTTCCCCTCCTTTTTCCTCTGCATGGAGGCAAAGGAAAACAACCCCTCAACATTTTTCATGAGGAAGCTAAAGACATTATAATGGCAGGATTCGATCTCGTGCCTTCGAACCGAGTGCTCAAACAGGCATGTGTCAGAATAGGCAACCCCCACCCATGACCAGAACACAGCTCAGATAGAGGGAAAGCTTGTCTGCCCATTTTCGCCTCTGGCCATGCCCAGCACCAGCATATAGCCCTCTAAAAGCTGCCCAGAAGGGTGTCTTTCCAAAGCTAGGAGAGCTTCTGCCAGCTCAGTGTTGTGGTTAAGAGTGTCAGACTACGACTTGGGAGACGAGGATTCAAGTCTCGGCTCAGACTTAAAGCCTACTGGAGAACCTAGCGCACCACCTTGAAGAAGAGTTTGAAGAAAAGTTTGGATTTGATATCCCACTTTATCACTACCCTAAGGAGTCTCAAAGCGGCTAACAATCTCCTTACCCTTCCTCCCCCACAACAAACACTCTGTGAGGTGAGTGGGGCTGAGAGACTTCAGAGAAGTGTGACTGGCCCAAAGTCAGTCAGCAGCTGCATGTGCAGAAGCGGAGACGCGAACCCAGTTCACCAGATTACGAGTCTACCGCTCTTAACCACTACACCACACTTGAGCTCCCTGAAAGGAAAGCTGGGATATAAAGGGGTGGTAATAACCAAACAAGCAATTAAATGTACCTCGGCAATGTACCTCATCCCATCTACTGTGTGTTCCGAGCCACTGGTCTCAAGATCCATTCCTCCCCAATGGAAATGGAACTGGACAGCCGTGAAGGTCCCAGGTAGCCCTTTGGTGATGGTCATGGTTGAAGGAAGGTCTATCTGGACTGGGAGGCAGAGTGAAAGCAGGAAGTGAGGTCAGGTGGAAAACAACTCTGTTACAGCAAGGCTGTAATAACCGCATGGGTATTGATTGATTGATTGATTGATTGATTGTTCCTCTGTTTGATTTTGTTCCTCGTTCACAACGTGCAAGAGCAATGTAAGTGGTACCTCGGGTTAAGTACTTAATTTGTTCCGGAGGTCTGTTCTTAACCTGAAACTGTTCTTAACCTGAAGCACCACTTTAGCTAATGGGGCCTCCTGCTGCCGCTGCGCCGCCAGAGCACGATTTCTGTTCTCATCCTGAAGCAAAGTTCTTAACCTGAAGCACTATTTCTGGGTTAGCAGAGTCTGTAACCTGAAGCGTATGTAACCTGAAGCGTATGTAACCTGAGGTACCACTGTAAAATAATGTTGCAGTGTTAACCCTTGGTAACTTTTCTTTTCCTTTTAAAAAGTTGCACTTGTAAAGGTTCCCTTGCTGGCCAGTTCTCCCCAGAACTGTTAGAATGTTTGTGAATGTTCCATGCTATCACAGCTGCTCAGGCAATGGCAGAAGCAGAAGGAGTGAGAGCCAGAAAACAGCCTGCTTTGAGCCTCTTAGATTTTAAAACATGCCTCCTTGATGAATCCAAGATACACTGGTATTTTAAAAAACACACACACCAACAACCACCTAGGAGTAATAATTTTCCTTTCTGGTTTTGAGGCTGCATTTGCATGTCTGTAATACAGGATAGAAACAGGTTTGGAAACATCATCCTCAGTTTTTAGATGCCAGCCTAGGAATTTTCATTTACCCAGGCTTTTAGTGGTTAAAGTAGCTCATCTTTTAGCTTCTCTTTCTTATTTTAGGAATTTTATAATATATATCCTTTTACATTTGGCTTTTGGTCGAGTTTATTTGCTTGTATCTTGTTTTTTAATTCAGCTGCTTTGGGACATTTCTTTTTCTTACTTATTTATCTTGTAAAATTTATATACTGTAAAAAGCAACTTCAACCGGGTTAACAAAAAGAATAAAACAGTCAAGTGATCAGTAAATAAAACAGTCAAAAGCAACTATTTAAAACATTTCAAAAAGAATTAAAACAAACAACGAGCTGAAAACATGATTAAGACACCCGTGAATCTTCTACATTTCTGGGCAGGCTTCTCTAAAAAAATAATATATGTTCAGCAGGCAATTAAAAGAGCACAGTGAAAGTGCCTGCCTGATATCATGAGGCAGGGAGTTCCAAAGTGTAAGTGCTGTGACACTAAAAGATCAATTTCTCACAAATGTGGAATGAATATTCTGTCGCACCTGTAACAGTGCCATTTCTGTAGATGGAAGATGTCGAGAGTGCATACATGGGGTTAGGCAATATCTCACAGGTAAACTGGTCCCAAACAACTAACAAATGCAATTATTGTTATTTAGAACAATATTAACTTGGTCGTTACTTTAGGAGCCATAGATCTAATCCGGAATGAAGGACAGAAAAGGGGGGTGGGAGAGAAAGCAGGAAACAATTGACTCTTCCTCCTTCCTATAAAATCCCCTGCCAAACTGTGAATAGAACATTTCATTCCTTTGCAAGGAACATGAGCCGGATCTGATTCCCCTCCTGCTTTGGAATTCAGAAGGAGATGAGTGCTTTTGTTCAGGAGCTCACCCGAGGGCAAGCCAACCGAAAACATGTTTCTTTCTGCAGATTATACCCTTTGTGAGGGATGGGATCAAAACAAAAACCGAAGTTAAAATAAAAAATACACCCACAAACACAGCCTGCAGCAAGTGCCATAATGATATACAAACAAACAAAAAAATGGTTTAATTGTGTAATCATGCATTGAACCGTGGTTTCATAATTGGGGTTGTTCCCTGTTTACTTTTTCTGAGCAGCCTGGTCAACATGGGGAGGGGAAAGGGGGGGGAGCAAAACAGAATTGCAAAGAAGGTCATTGGGACAAACTGGGAGGAAGGTCCACTGACAACCAGGACCGCGTTTTTGTTTTGGTTTTTTTACACCCCAGCAAATACACTTTGGAAAGAGCAAACTTGACTTCTTTTTGTGGTTAGGAATGCAAACAAACGAATAAGGGAAGACTGTACAGCCTCCCTCCACTGTCAGAGGCAGGTGTCTCTGTGTACCAGTGGCTGGCAAAGAACAATTTTGGCTTGGCTGGCTCTGTCAGAACAGGATGCCGGACTAGATGAGCCTTTGACCTGACCCAGCAGGGTTCTTCTAATGTTCTAAGTCAGGGGTCAGGTCAGCCAACTTTTTCAGCAGGGGGCCGGTCCACTGTCCCTCAGACCTTGTGGGGGCCAGACTATACTTTGGAAAAAATAATAATGAAAAATTCCTAATCCCCACAAATAACCCAGAGATGCATTTTAAATAAAGCACACATTCTACTCATGTAAAAACACCAGGCAGCCCCCACAAATAACCCAGAGATGCGTTTTAAATAAAAGGACACATTCTACTCATGTAAAAACACGCTGATTCCAGGACCGTCCGTGGGCTGGATTTTGAAGGTGACTGGGCCAGATCTGGCCCCCAGGCCTTAGTTTGCCTACCCATGTTCTAATCTAAGTAATCTTGCTCTCCTTCAATGGCTTAAGAGGGGGATTGGATGAATTCATTGGGCATAAGGCTCTCAACAGCTGCTAGTCATGATGGCAATGTTCTGTCTCTTCTGTTGCAGGCAGTAATACCAGTTCCTGGGACTCAAAAGTGCCCAGGAACAGCATCTTAAAAAGCAGGGACATCACCTTGCCGACAAAGGTCTGAATAGTTAAAGCTATGGTTTTCCCAGTAGTGATGTATGGAAGTGAGAGCTGGACCATAAAGAAGACAGATCGCCAAATAATTGGTGCTTTTGAATTATGGTGCTGGAGGAGACTCTTGAGAGTCCCATGGACTGCAAGAAGATCAAACGTATCCATTCTGAAGGAAATCAGGCCTGAGTGCTCACTGGAAGGACAGATCCTGAGGCTGAGGCTCCAATACTTTGGCCACCTCATGAGAAGAGAAGACTTCCTGGAAAAGGTTGAGGGCACAAGGAGAAGGGGACGACAGAAGACAAGATGGTTGGACAGTGTTATCAAAGCTACGAACATGAGTTTGACCAAACTGCGGGAGGCAGTGGAAGACAGGAGTGCCTGGCATGCTCTGGTCCATGGGGTCATGAAGAGTCGGACATGACTAAACGACTATACCACAACAAAGCAGAGAAGGATGGCATGGAGATTGCAGAGGCCAGCATGAGAAGCAGTGTCTTCATTCCCCCCTGTGCATGCACAGAGACTGAAGGATAAATACCCCAAAAAATAAACTGAAGGGGTTTGGACTGGGTGACCCGTTGGGTTCCTACCAACTCAGCAGTTCTATGGTTCTGTGACTGAGGGGCTATTCTTCTGCCACAACGAAGGAAATTGCCAGGGTTTTGCCAAAGCCCTGGGCAGCCAGTGAGCTCCTGACAAAAACTGGTTCAGGCTGACCAGCAACAATGGTGCTGTTAATGAGCCTGGATGCAAAATACAGAGCCCTTAAAAAGACGGAAGGGGTCCAGGGGAAGGGAACTCGACAAAAACAGCAGTTCACAAAAAAGCAACAACTAATGTTCAGAGAGCAAAGGCTGGTAATACTGCTGTGCTGAAACCCCCTAATGAGAGGCTGGTCATACACCGCCGTGTATAATAAGCAGGCAGCCTCAACAATGATCTCTTGGGGCAATACAATTAGAGATTCCTTTCCCTGGAGACAGTTTGTCTCAATGCTCCACTGCTTCCCCCCCCCCCAATCTGTCAGCCATCCATGGTTTCTTGTTTTTGCTTCTGATTGCATTCCTGCCTCACCTTTCTCAACAAGGAGCACATGGCCCTCCCCTCCTCCTCATTTCACCCACACAGCAACCCTGCGAGGTAGGTTAGGCTGGGAGGCAATGACTTACCCAAGTTTCATGACAGAGCGGAGATTTGAACCCTGGTCTCCCAGGTCCTAGTCTGACACCCTAAGCACTACACAACAGGGATATAGAGAGAACTGGAGCATAATACCACTTTAAATAGCTGTGGCTTCCCTCCAAGAACCCTGGGAACTGTAGTTTTCTAAGGGCTCCTGAGACCCCCTGTTCCCCTCACAGAGCAACAGTTCCCAGAGTGGTTTAACAAAGGACCCCCTCTTCCCAGGGAACTGTCACTCTGAGAGGTCAGTAGGGGTCCTCTCCTCCTAACAGCACCCTTAGCAAACTAGAACTCCCAGAATTATTGGTATCACAGTGCTTTAAAGGTATGGTATAAATGTTGCCTAACTTAAAGGTAAAGGTACCCCTGACCGTTAAGTCCATTAAGACCATTAAGTGAAGAGCTGCTGCTCTATAGGCCAAGGGAGCCGGCGTTTGTCCGCAGACAGCTTCCGGGTCATGTGGCCAGCATGGCTAAGCCACTTCTGGCAAACCAGAGCAGCACACGGAAACACCGTTCCCACAATTCTTTGGAAGAAACCATGTGCTTTAAAGGTATGGTGGCTATGCAGTCTTGGTAGCTATTGCCCACAGCTGAATAGAACCTCCAGGCTTTTAGGAGTAGTATGCTGCTAACCACTACAATAGCCATTTGAAGGAATAACCCCTGGGAACTACAGTTCCCAGGATTCCCAAGCATCTCCAGGTAGCACTAGGAATGTCCCCTGTGTGAGCCCCTGAAGAGCTGCTGCCAGTCAGTGTGGACAACACTGAGCAAGATCGACCAGTGGTCTGACATGGGATAAGGCAGTTTCCTGTGTTCCTACATTCCCCCTGCTTTTCAAATTCACATTATACTGGTATATAAAAAACCCACACACAGTGAGTTTATCTATCAGCTCCGCTGCTCATCATGTTATGCATTGTCAGAAATAAATTCTAGAAATATCCCCATAGTGCACGGGAAGGATTAGCCAGCATATAACTTTGGAAGCTGTTCTTTTGTCCTTTTATTTTTTAATGTCTCATGAACAAATGCAAACAACTCCTACATTCTCGATTGTGTACATGGTGCTGACTGGATTGCCTGCCTCTAGTTTGAGAAAATCAGCACAAAATTAGCAGAATAGATTTTTTTTTAGAAAAAGAAAAAGAAAGAGATGACAAAGCAAGAAGTTGAAATAAACGAGATCAGGAGAGGCAGCTCGTTCAATTAAAAAAAGAAGCTTTTGTGAATGACAGTCAGCTGAAAATGTAAAAAAACCAACAACTCTGACTTCAACCATCACTAGATATTTGAAAGACATTGCAGCGTTGATGTTATGTATCACACCAAAATTCACACCATGCTTAAAACAGGGGCTGTTTGGCACTTATATCTGGCTTCTAACCTTGGTTACAAACAGATTTAAAGCCCTGGTTTCAAATGGATTTAAAGCTAGCTTTGGTTTCAGATTAGTTTCAATCTAACCCTGGGTTTAAATGGGATTAAAGATAACCATGGTTTCAAGGGTCATCTAGTTTTCAAATGGGTTTGAAGCTAAACATGGGAAGGGAGTGTAGCATTTGCATGGCAGAGAAGAGGAGAAAGAGGCTGCGGGAGGCTACAAGCTTCCAGAGTTCTCCTGATCTCATAACCATGGTTAAATAAGAGATTGGGAAATGCTATGTTTTCATGGTCTTAGGCAAGCTAAACCTAAGTAATACAAAGGATAATGATACTCAGTTACTTTACAGTCTCATAATAAATGCCCCTTGTAAAAGAATAAGAACTGTTGAAATGTCTTGTTATTATCAACCGACGGGCTGATTTAGCAGCCTTAAGGGCTTGCTTATCTAGAAAAATAACCCTTGTCTTGAATTGTTATTCTGCATTTGGGAAGTGAATTGGGACTTGACATGGCAAGTAAACACATTCCCAGGAACACAGGGAGCTGCCTTATACCAAGTCAGACACTTGCTCCATCTAGCTCAGTATGGTCTACACTGACTGGCAGCAGCTGGCCAGGGTTTCAGGCAGGGGACATTCCCAGCTGTACCTGGAGATGCCATTGGGGATTGAACCGGGGACATCTTGCATGCTAACCCACTGAGCCATGGTCCTCCCTTCCCCACAGCCATTCACCTTTTTTACCTGTTGCTCATATTCACCTGAATGCCCGTTGTTAGTCATGGTGAAGGTTCCTTGCAGGGGCCCAGCATAGCCGTGGAGCTCCAGCGGTTCTAGTTCCGGAGAGTATTGGACAGACCTCTTCCGAATGTCAATGGGGGACTGACGCTTCCCGAGGCAGTCTGGGAAGTGATTTCCCCAGTGGACTTCATCCAGTTCCCCTTCAGAAGCAACGTCAGAGAGGAGGGAAGAGAGGAAGAGAAAGAGGAGAGGCTGTCAGACTGAGCTTGCAATGAAGAAATTGTCTTAGGTAGAAGTTCAAGGCGCAGCTTCTGAGGCACACAGCCTTAGGCAGCTTGAGACCAGGATACCTGAACTATCATGTCTCTCCTCTTATATACCCAATTGATCACTTGCACTCTACAAGAGAGGGCCACCTGCAGGAGGTCCATAGGAATAGGGCCTTCTGTGTGGTGGCTCCAGCCTTTTGGAATTCCCTCCTGTTAAATATTAGGCTGAAAGTACACCATACAGTGGTACCTCAGGTTAAGAACTTAATTCGTTCCGGAGGTCCGTTCTTAACCTGAAACTGTTCTTAACCTGAAGCACCACTTTAGCTAATGGGCCTCCTGTAATATTTCTGGGTTAGTGGAGTCTGTAACCTGAAGCGTATGTAACCTGAAGCGTATGTAACCCGAGGTACCACTGTATATTTAAAGCACATGGCTTCCCCCCTTCAAAAACAACAACATGGGAACTGTAGTTTGTCAAGTGTTCTGGGAATTGTAGCTCTGTGACAAGTAAACTACAGTTCCCAGTAATTTTTAGGGGGGGAGCCGTGTGGTTTAAATGTGCTTTAAATCTATGGTGTGAAGCAATGCTTTATGCACTAAATGCTTCCCTAAGAAGTTGTGCTCTTATGCTCTGACCACTCAGACACATCCAAGTGAATCTCCTCTTGCTGCCTGCAACTTTCTCGGGGTGCTATTCCCTGAAGTTGGTGTATAAACACTCTAAAGACGTTGGTGCTGCTGTGGTTTAATTAATAAAATACATTCCATGACATCACAGCAAGTCAGGGCAGGGCAGCCAACCGCAGCTTGAAAACAACAGCCTGTTTAGGTAGTGTGGTGGGGCTTGCCTGTAAAAGCTCCAATATTCTTTTAATGTCCAAATCTTCAAAGCAACTCATGCAAATAGACAAGGCTCTTTCCTCTCTCTCTCCCTATGTCTCTCTTATCAGTATATTTCGCCCTTACGGCCTGGTAGGGGCCTCAAGGTTGCCTCTCAAACCTCCCTGCTTTGTTTGCAATCGATACGGGAACCTTTCCTCTCATCTTTGTCAGTTCTCTTGTTGGCGGTCAGAGGCATCGATCCGTTCCGCCACACTCACCGCTTTCCAAAGGAAAGTGCGGCAGAGACGAGGCAGAAAACAGACGCTTTGGCCTTTTTGCAGCAGCCTCCGAAAGAATGACTAATGGAGAAGGATGGTGGAGGCTGTAGTCCAGCAATATGGGGGGCGGGGAGACACAGCTTCCCCATGCCTGGACTCAAGGCTCCTGGGAGCACCTTCCAGAAAAGAAGCTCCCTGATGTGTCTCTGCATAAGTGGCTGGTCTGGCTGCTATTAAGGTAAAGGTAAAGGGACCCCTGACCATTAGGTCCAGTCGTGGCCGACTCTGGGGTTGCAGCGCTCATCTCACTTTATTGGCCGAGGGAGCCGGCGTACAGCTTCCGGGTCATGTGGCCAGCATGACTAAGCCGCTTCTGGCGAACCAGAGCAGCGCACGGAAACGCCGTTTACCTTCCCGCCAGAGCGGTACCTATTTATCTACTTGCACTTTGACATGCTTTCGAACTGCTAGGTAGGAAGGAGCAGGGACTGAGCAACGGGAGCTCACCCTGTCACGGGGATTTGAACCGCCAACCTTCTGATCGGCAAGTCCTAGGCTCTGTGGTTTAACCCACAGCGCCACCCACGTCCCTTCTGGCTGCTATTAAGACCGTTCAAAACAGGGATGGGAACCTGCGGCTTTCCAGATGATGTTCGACTGCAACTCCCCTCAACCCCTACCCCCAGGGCCAAACGTCAGGATGATGGGAGTTGTAGTCTGCAACATCTGGAGGGCACCAGGATGGCTATCCCTGAGTTGAGAGTCACAGTGAAGAGACCTCCCGTTAGTGCCCAGGTCAGCCATAATGCTCCCTAGTTGAGCCTGAGCCAACTGCTCATTCCAATCCTAGATCGATTTGGTCATATGAATGGAGGACTGGAGTCTGGAGCTGAGCAGTTAGAGAATCTGCTTTGCCTGCAGACGGGTTCCAGGTTCAACCCCTGACATCTCCAGGAAGGGAAGGGAAAGATCCCTGTGCGCAGTCTTGCAGCATTACTGCCAGTCTGTGTAAGTGCTACTGAGCTCGGTGGACCAGTGGTCTGGTCTGACTCCACTTCCTCTGGTCCTGTTTTGTGGGGAGCAGCTAGTAATCCAGGGGTAGATTCTCCCTACTGTTTTCTGACAATATATCTGCATTGCTGATACAGTCATACCTCGAGCTGAATGTGCTTTGGGTTGAGTGTGTTCGAGCAGCGCATTACTTCTGGGTTTCGCCGCTCGCACACGCTCAAACGCTCAAAATGACGTCACACGCATGCGTGGATGCGGCGAAACGCGACCCACACATGCGCAGACACGCCGTCGCATCTTGCGTTCTGTTTGGGATGCAAACAGGGCTCCGGAAAGGATCCCATTCACATCCCAAGGTACCACTGTAATTGCTTAGATATAGATGATATAGATATAGATATAGATGATATAGATATAGATATAGATATAGATATAGATATAGATATAGATATAGATATAGATATAGATATAGATATAGATATAGATATAGATATAGATATAGATATAGATTATAGATGTAGATAATGTACATAGCTAGGGCTGCCATACACCCAGAATTTCCAGGACATATCTGGGATTCGTCCTTCAGAAATAGAGTCTGGGCAGAATTTCTGAAAATCTGTAAACATGCCCAGGAAAACCCAGGTGTATGGCAAGCCATGTCGGAAGCAGTGTTAGAAACTGAGATATGAAAGCTAGGAGCCAAATGGCACCTTAAACCTAGGTTAATGGGCGCAACAACGGAATGTCTAGGCACACTTTTTAAAATAACAATACAAAGCTGAAAATGAATGAACTGCAGCTAAAATATTGTGTTCATTTTTCACATGGTCTAGTCCTCCCCCTGCCCACCCCCTAATATTCTTAAGAGAGTCTGTTCTTCAGTCTTCAGAGAGTAGCTGGAAGTGGGGAGGCAGAAAAAGGTCCTCCTTTCCTTCCACTCTGCGGTTTTAATCTGAAATCTTAGGCGCAGCACTGCGGCCAGAGCTCAGAAAATGCTCATGCCAATGAAATTCCCTGTCGCAAAATGCGCCTAGAACAATGGGAGTTTTGAACACTGGTCGGAATTGTTATTTTTGTGGCAAATTTCCTTTAAAAATAGTTCAAAAAAACTCAACAACTCTTGTGTCCGGATTCTCACTTTTTGAAATATGGCAACCCTAACATAGCATAAGAGGTGTTAAGTTCTTGCTTCGTTGTATTAAGGGGGTTGCACTACCCTTCCCCACAAATAAATATTTTTCTGCAGGAATGGAATTTTCCTTTACACAGAACAACATTAAAAACAACAACAACAACTTGTATATCTCCCACTGTAATGGTACAACCCACACAACCACCTCAATTTATATTTAGTCCTTTGATACCCTATGTTTCCCCCCGGGAACTTAAAAATAAATAAATCCTCGCAACAACTCTGTGAGTCCAGCTAGCTGAGATGTTGTAAATTTCTCCAAGTCACCACTTCAGAGCTCAAAAGGGGGATTTGAATCTGTCACCATGTGCACACTATAAAGCACATTTCCACCAAAGAACTCTGGGATATGTAGTTTGTTGTGAGAGCTAACAACAGCAGTTCTGTGAGGAATAAACTACAGTTCCCGGGATTCTTGGGGGAGAGGAAATGTGCTTTAAATATATGCTTGCATTTCCCCAATCTCTCGCCTGACGCACTAGCCACTATGCCACACTGCCTTTCAACCCCATCATTCCGTCACATGCGCAGACTTGGCATTATTTTTAAGCCTACGTGCGTAGGGATACGCGGTTGATGCTGCAATCCTGATCCTATTTGCTCGGAAGGAAATCTTGCTGGAAGCCAATTGGATTTATGTCTGAGCAAATATGCCTAGCTTAGAGCTCAGTTTCAATCTAAGCCTTTCTTTTCAACCGGGGTGTCAACCCTGCAGGTTTCCATCAACAGAAGGGAGAATGTTAAACACAGCGTCTACCCCCCCTTCTCCTCGCACCCCATCCCAATCCTGTCTCCTTATTACCTTTGTAGGTCCAGTGCAGGACATGAGAAGAGCTCAGATGCAAAAGGAACAGGGGGAACACCCAGCCGCTAGTCCTCATGGCTCTCCCAAGTCTGAAAGCAGGTGCCAGCGAGGAACCAGCCCGTCTTCTTCTCTTATTTATTCTGGAAAGAGTACCGGTAAATAACAATTTACTTTAAAGCCAGCCTTTCCCCCCTCCCGCCCCACCTTTCCCTGCTCTCTGCCAAAACAAGAACCTGCTGGGGTATTCCCTCCCCCCAAGCTTACATCTCCTAATGATATCTTATTGACCCACCTGGGAGAAGAGCTGCCAGGCACTCTAATGGGATAGCAAAACAGCAAAGAGCACAAGGTCAATGGCACCAAGGCAATGTAACGTTCTGTACTTTTGCAAAGCTCGCGGTCTCCCCTCTCGGGAGCCAGCGTTATTGGCCTTCTGTACAGCAGCGTCCTGGAAGCATTAATGTTTAATGCTTCCCAGCATGCATTAGGGCAGGGAGGGGGGTAGGGAACCTTCAGCCCGGGGGGCCAAAGGCAGCCCTCCAAGACTCTCTGCCTGGACCTCAGGATACACAAAACACACCCACTTCCCGGCTCTGAGCTTTATTCCCCAAAATCTGGGTGGGATCCCCTCCAAACTGGTGCCAAAGCTTTGCAGCCGTTTCGCACCAAAACCCCCACATTTTGCATACACAGTCCCCCCAAAAACTGAGTAAGTTGGGGCCATAGGTATAACACCCCCCAACCCCAGCATTACCCGATTGACTCCAAAGTGGTGCCAAAGTTTTGCAATATTTTTGCACCCTTTTGTACTGTGAACCCTACGTTTTGCACCGCCACCCCCAAACTACGGAATCAACATGCAAACAGGGAGTCATAGGTATCTCCCCCCGCCCCCCAAATGCAACATTGTCCAATTCACTCCAAGCTTGAGTGTTTTTGCCTAGCTGCAAAGTGCCCTTGAACTCTGATCATGCCTCATTTGCCTGAACGGAGGACAGAGGGTGTGGGTGTGGGTGGGTGGGTGTAGAAAATAGTCTACTGTATAAAAATAAAGTTTACATTTACATTTGTTGCTCTGGCCACCTTTGCATCCAGCCCCTCCCACCCCTAGCATGTGGCCCCTGGGAGTTTTCACAGAAGGGAATGTGACCCTCGAGCTGGAATAGTCTCCCTACTAATGCACTGGGTCTATAGTATAAAGCAGGGGTCGGCAACGTGTGGTCCATGGGCAGGATGCGGCCCACAAAGACCATTTTACCGGCCCACGAGCCGCCCCGAACCGAGCTGCCCGCTTGGCGAGTCCCCTGCGCGCTGCGCTAAACCAGCGCAGCACAGTGTGCGGACTCGCCAAAAATCACGTCTGCGTACATGCAGATACTGGAAATCGCGTCTGCACATGTCCAGGTGCCAAAAATCGCTTCTGTGCAGGTGCGATTTTCGGTGTCTGGGCATGCGCAGAAGCGATTGCCAACGCTGCAGACATGTGCAGACACGATCTCCGGAGTCGTGTTGCACCAGTCTGGCCCATGGACAATTTCCGTGGGAGTGCTCCAGCCCATGGCCAGTAAATCTTGCTGACCCCTGGTATAAGGGCACGTGGTGTCGCCACCATAGTGAAGGAAAGCCAGTTTGTGTTTGGTCAGCATCCGGGCGGCAGGCCATTCAGGGCCTCAGGTGCGATGCAAATTTCATAAATAAGACTTCAGGCACACAGATGGAGCCCCAAGGAGAAAATGTCAGACTCGGCACCAGAATGTAGCAAGTTTGGAGTACCAGCTTGGGCTCCCAGACTTGGGAGTGCAAGAACACCATCCCAGAATAATATGCTACTGAGGAGGCAGTGCCCAGGCCTGTGCCCAGGCTCCATCCGAATCCCTGACCCCAGAATGAATCCGGCTGATTCAGGTCGACTCAGGATTTGGCTGGAGTGAGTTGAGGCACTGGAGTTATTTGGACCTATCAAAGCAGGATGGGGAGATCTGGTGGCAAGGAGGGTGGAGGAGACTGTGCAAGTTTGGTTCAAGGTCCAGATCAGGTCAGGTTGGCTCCAGATCGTCCTGGGTCAGATTTCTCTCTCACTTTTTGGGGAGAGGGGTCTAGTTTGGATGCTGTGTCTTGTTTCCCCCCAGTCCTTCATAAGCTGTGTTAAGTTGTGGGTGAACATATCAAACGACACAGCGATTCTTCAAACAGCTCTTGTTTATTCAGAGGCCAGAACAGAACTGAGCTGAAGGGCTCAGTCAGCCTGCTTATATAGAGCTCCAGTACAACGTTACTGTAGCAAATTTCTAAAACTATCCAATCACTGAACGTCACTTTCGATCCTTCATTTGCATAATTATCTACAGTATCCCCCTGCTGGCCCAGGGTGAGAACTTCAGTACATAACACCCTGTACTCTACATCTGGAGGGCACCAGGTTGACTACACTAGCCAAGCAGCGGTTCTCAACCTGTGGGTCCCCAGATGTTGTTGGACTACAACTCCCATCATCCCTGAGCTCTGGCCTTGCTAGCTAAAGGTGATGGGAGTTGTAGTTCAACAACATCTGGGGACCCACAGGTTGAGAAAGGCTGAGCCAAGGCATCCTCATTCCCACAATTTACCTTCAAAACAACCTTGCGAGGCGGGATAGGGTGAGAGAGGTGACACCTGGCCGAAGGTCACTCCGTAAGCTTTGTAACTGAGTGGGGATCAAAACCCAGTTTTCCCTGAATTTAGCCCAGTGCTAATTATTGCACTAGCTGTCCCTTTATTGATTTTAAAACAGAAGCTGTGGACCCCATCGCAACAGGAAAACGCTTTGCGTGTGCTGAGAAATACCTTGCTCTTAAATTCGTTGCTGTCTTAAAAACAAACAAAAGAAAAAACCTTTGGTCTCTTTCACGAGGATCCATACCTAGGATCAATGTTTTTGCAGCGCTGGCAAACACCAGATCTGTGATTTCAACTGTACAGTCTACCAATGTGATTTTTAACAAATTAGAGGGCTCATTCCATCAGCTTTGCCAACAGACCAGCTGTATCAGGAACCTCTTAGCTCTGAACTGTGTCAGCTGGTCATTATCGGAACAACTTTTTAAAGAATTGGTGCCTGAGTTTGCTTTCCTCTTCCCTCCGTGTCCCTTTTCCCTTGTGTGTTGTGGTGGGGGTTTAGATTGTAAGCCTGCAGGCAGGGACTGCCTTGCTTTAATTAACTGTAGGTAAGAAATGCACTAAATAAATAATATACTAATTTAATGGTGGATTTGCTGGCCAGGTGTGGAGGGTTGCCACCCACAAGCATTCATGAGGAGCTGCTTTCTACTAGATCTGATTTTTTACTCTGACTCCATGGAAAAACAAAGCATATTTCTCTTTATGTGCACACAAGCATACATGTCCTTTGGGGGTGGTTGAATTGTGATGCAGGTCTGGGGAGGTGGAGGGAAAGAAGCAACCATGAGTGTATGCCCATGGCACTCTCTCAAAATTCAATATATTTTCACTGGCCCGAAAAGGTTAGTGACACCCCTCTACCAACAGCCCAGTTTAAATGAATGTTTGGGGTTCTGATGTCACATCCCCCCCCCCCCGGTGAATCTAAACTCTACATTCTCAACCTCTGAGCAAGGGCAAGGAGACTTTTGAACACAATCATTTCAGGCTTGCAAAAGCAGCAGAATAGAGACACTGGTGCAGAGGTGATGCTCTGCGGTGGAATCCCTTGCAGGTGATGCTGGTATAAATGGCTGAGTTGCTTTCTCTCAGCTAATTTCAATGACTATTTAAGGTAAAAGTAAGGTGAAGGACCCCTGGACGGTTAAGCCCAGTCAAAGGCTACTATGGGGTTGCAGCGCTCGTCTCGCTCTATAGGCCGAGGGAGCCGGCGTTTGTCCACAGACAGCTTTCTGGGTCATGTGGCCAGCATGACTAAACCACTTCTGGTGCAAAGGGACACCATGATGGAAGCCAGAATGCACGGAAATGCCGTTTACCTTCCCACCGCAGCAGTACAGTGGTACCTCATATTACATACGCTTCAGGTTACAGACTCCGCTAACCCAGAAATAGTGCTTCAGGTTAAGAACTTTGCTTCAGGATGAGAACAGAAATCGGGCTCCCGCAGCGCGGCGGCAGTGGGAGGCCGCATTAGCTAAAGTGGTGCTTCAGGTTAAGAAGAGTTTCAGGTTAAGTACAGACCTCCGGAACGAATTAAGTACTTCACCTGAGGTACCACTGTACCTATTTATCTACATGCACTAGTGTGCATGAGAACTGCTAGGTTGGCAGAAGCTGGGACAAAGCAACGGGAGCTCACCCCGTCGCACAGATTTGAACCACCGACCTTCCAATCAGCAAGCCCAAGAGGCTCAGTGGTTTAGACCACAGCGCCACCCGCTCCCTCAATGACTACCGGTATTTACCTAGCCCTGGATATACAAGGATTACGCAAGGCACCGTGGGCCATGTTTGATTAGCTCTGCCGTTGCACAGACCAATGCAGATGTCAAAACCAATGACTCCTCCAGGGAAGGGGAGGTGGGGGAAGCCGGGAAGGAATAACACCATCTGATCTTGCATGCACCATGCGGAATAATAATGAATGAGATGGCGGGAAGCTTTTTTTAAAAAAATTAAGCATTTGCAGGCAGTGGGTTCCCAAGCGAGCTTCAGGTTTTGTGTAATGCTGCCGTGGTGGGAATGGGAGTGGTCACACAGAAAGGCAAAACCTCTCTTTTTATTTATCCTTGCAGGATGTGCTGTTTGCATTCAGTTTAACTAGTAAAGCATTATCTGTTTCCCTCCTCCCTGAGCTCCATATGCCCTATTCAAAATGCATCAGTTAACACTGCAAGTTGATGAGCCCTCAAACCCTGAATTCAAATCTCGTCTCAGTCTTGACTCAGTAGCTAGCCTTAGCCCAGCTGTCCTATCCAATCTCAGGCCCTGGACTCCAATATGAAGTGTAAGAATCTGTACGGCATTCCAGGTCCCACAGAATCCTTTGGCAGCTGGGTACCTTATCACTGTGCCAAGAGTTCTGTTTACCTCTCAGGCTTGCACAGGCATTTACAACAAAGACTTTCTCCATCTTGACAAGTTGCATCTATTT